CTCCCCAGTGTATCCCGTGAGGGATGGGAAGTCGGCGGCAGAGGGCGGAGGGGGAGCTGGATGCGGGGAGGGTTGCTGGTTGACCAAGACCTCTTGGCGCAGAGGACTGGGGCTGGGCGTTGTGCCCGTGGCGGCAATCTGGGCCCATGAGCGAGGGGCCATTGTGGTGGTAGTGGTAATGGTGACTGTTTGTGAAAAGCGCGCAAAGGCCGAAGCAACTAGATGGATGTTAACAATCTAGAAGATTAGGCGAGATGGAAATCTGGTATAAAAGTCTTACGGGCATGAAATATGATGGATAGTCGGTGGTGATGTTGTTGCGCGCGCGAGAAAAAAAGACCAAACAGAGGTGAAAGGAAAAGGGAAAGGGAAAGGGCCCAGGGTCAAGAACATACCTTTTTTGGCCAACAGCCCTATACTGTAATGAAGCGGAATGTGCCTTCGCTCACGCCGCCCATGAGGTCGCTTGGTAGCGGTGTTGAAGTATTCAGGTGATGATGTGGTGTGTATTCCAGTCTCGATTATCCATCCTTCACTTCATCTCACTCAGGTATCTTTTCGAGGCATTGATGAGATGAGCCGCACCTACCTCAAGAGATGTGAGCAGAAAGAGCACTGTGTGTGTTCTAAAGAGTAACAAACTAGCGAAAACTGGATTTGTTATAATGAACAGTTATTCTCTTGAGCTGACAAAAGGGTGCTTGTACCCGAACAGTTTCTTTCTCCTTGAAGATCTCCATAACAAGTTCATCCAAACCTCAGCTGAGGAAGCTGGAGTGGTATGGGATGTGTCGAAGCCTCATAATATGCCATGCTCCAGGGCCTTATGCAAAGACCATCGATCGTGAGGAGGAACTTGGCCCCTCATCTCTTGGAGGGAGGGCAGGATAAAGACAGAAGCGTTGCCGAATGCTTGACCACTAGGCAGCAACATGGCACATAAAGATATCCAAGAATTCCCTTGATCGAACAAAGGCTTGGAGTCTTTCATCGCGGTTTGTTTGTTCAAGACAAACCGGCATATATGTCTAGGGCCTTTGTCAATTTGGGGTGGCACTCTATATGTTCGACCCGTAGGATACTCAAAGGCTGAAGGCAAGCAAAGAACAAGCGCTGAACATATGTCCTCCGCAACTCAATAACTTCTAATTCCTTGCATGAGGCTAGCTCAAGCCACTTCCGTTCCCGCTGCAAGGGGTAGTCTTTCTCCGATCTTGCTAAGGCGCGAAGAACATTCCTCGAAGTTGCTACCGCTCAGAGACAGCGATGTTTCCTTCTTTCCGTTTGACGACCATCATGACTTGTACAACCAATGGGATGGTTGAGTTGAATGAGTAAAGCAGTTGATGACAGGCTGAGAATGGATTCATGTAGGATAACGTCTTTAAGGTCAAACCGACGTTGAGCAAGTTGCCATGTCGTTGGTCGTCTTACATAAGCGGCCATGAGAAGGACATTGACGCACATTGTCCGGCCGAAACCGAAGTACCTTGTCCACGAATACCTTAATGCAGGTCCACTCGCGCCCGTCCTCTCTGCCGCAGCTTCTTGCAACACCTCAAGACTTAAGAATGCAAAGCTCGCTGACCCAAAATCTCTGGGGCATAGGCGATGTAAGGTGAAAACTGACAATGGAACTAACCAAGCCCCCCTGATCTCGTCCCAAACCCGAGTCGTGCTAGCTGGCAATTGAGTTTCGTGCCACAGTCCTCTAACGGCCCGCCGATCTCCACGGCACTCGATTCCGTCACCACTGAATGCCCCTCCCGCGCGTTGCCTTGAAGTGGGGGCCCTTGACGGGTTGCAGCTTTCTCCTTGGGCCGAAAGCTTCGGCCACCGGTTTCCTCATTTGAATAAATGGGGAACGCGGCATCATCATCAGGTCCGAGAAACGTAGCTTCAGCCCCTAGCTTTCGACCATGATTAAAGGAGTCATAAAACCCAGCAACATACCGCATTCGTTCAAAATGTATCGGCGTATAAGAAAGACGAGACAAACGATTACATCAATCACCTGAAAGCTAAACCCTTTCAATTCTCGCAAAGTCCACTTACACGAACCATCATCTTATACTCAGCCCGATCTACTTATCAAAAATGAGCTCCGCACAAGGCAACAGAGCCCTCTGGCTCTCATCCTACTCCAAACCCCTCGAAGTAATCGACCTCCCCATCCCAGACGCTCCCACAGGCACAGTCGTCGTCAAGATTCTCGCCGCGCCCATCGTGCCCTACACGCACCTCGCCCACACCGGCAAGCTCCCGCAGCTCAACGTCCACCCGCCCTTCGTCCCGAACCCCAATGCCATCGGCCGCGTCCACGCCGTCGGCCCGGATGCCGTGCGCGTCAAGCCTGGTGATCTCGTCTACGTTGACGCCACTACCCGCGGCCGCGACGACCCCGTTAACGCCATGGTTATGATCGGTCATCTCGGCGGCGTGGGCGACGCGGGGCAGAAGTTGATGAAGGAGTGGCGTGATGGTTCGCTGCAGCAGTATCAGAAGGTGCCCCTCGAGAACGTCTACCCTCTCGACGAGAAGCGCCTCATTGGTGAACTTGGCTACGACTTTGCGGCGCTGAGCTCTATCGCGCATTACTCCGTTGCCGCCGGCGCCCTCCTCGAGGCAGCGGACATCAAAGTAGCAGAGACCGTGGTCATCGGACCCTCAGGTGGCTCCTTTGGCGGTCTAGCCGTCGAAGTCGCTCTCACCGTCGGCGCAAACGTCATCGCCCTGGGCCGAAGCGAATCCAAGCTTGCGGCAATGCGTACCAAGCTCGGCGACAACCCTCGTCTCAAGACGGTGGTGATGACAGGCGACGAAAACATCGATGCGCAGGCGATCCTCGCAGCCACGCCCAATGGAGCCGGAGCCGACGTTTTCAACGACTGGACGCCCGGCGAGCTCAAGAACCCGCCGTACCTCGAGGCCGCGGTGCGCACCCTGAAGCGCGAGGGAAGGGTGATCCTCAGCGGCGGCGCGAGTGAGACGCTGACGATACCGTATGCTGTGTTTGGGCTCAAGAATCTGAAGTTGCTTGGCAAGTGGATGTGTGAGCGGCCGACGCTGCTGCAGCTGGTTCGCATGGTTGAGGGAGGTCAGCTGAGGATCGGGAGGGAGAGCGGCGCGGAGATCAAGATTTTCTCTTTGGATGAGCATCATGAGGCGACGGAATTTGCGAGGGACAATGGTGGATGGAGGAACTACACTGTCATTGCTCCCAACGTGGAGTGAGACTTGTCTTTTGAATGATAGCCACCCTGCTTCGTTCCGCGGATCACTATTTCGGATCGGTAAGAATAGCCAACTCCTCATTTCATACTCAATGTATTGTTTTCAGGAGAGGAAGAAAAGATTTATTGATAAGATAGACCACACATGTTCCTTGATAAATCTTACGATGTCATGACAGAAACTGGTTCTCGGCTTCTTGAATGAGTATCGTGTAAATTTGTGAAGATGACGCATGTCTGTCACGAACAAGGCTTCACTACCCGCTTGTCTCCAAGACCGGGGGATTTCATAAATGCCTGTTCAGGAGGATACCTAGACCACCTCGGTCCTTAGAAAAAAACCCGGTCGTCAGCAAGGCACTAGATGTGACAGGATTGGACAATCGCGAGGCGTCAATCCCGTCTCGTTATGATTGGTCAACCATCCCCGGTCTGTTTGTCCATATGTTGGAACGTCTTCCCCCACGCGGGGACGTTGCGGCTACTTGCATGTAGGGTTTCAGTCTAACCGGCGTGACCGACCTGTTCTTCATGTAGGAAGTGCTGGAGATAAGACGAACTGAAAGTGCGGCTCATCGATTCTGCATGAGCTCACACAGACCTGTTGCTTTCGATTACGCATCTCTTATTCCGTTGGTTCAGGATGGTGTTCTCATCAATTCGTTACAGGCGATTAAGTGTAGATAGATACTTGTGTCGGTCCCTGCCTTCCATCCGCTTGTATCTCATGTTAGAGCATTTGCGGCAAGATCCTCGACGTGACCTCCTTGTTAGGATTTCGCCCTGCAACCAATTTCATGGCATCGCGGAACCTTGAGTTTTCATACACATAATCTATGATGAATGTGTCTACGGATACAGCTCGTTACGTCCATACTTGTCACTCATCACATCTCAGTAAGAGTAAGAGTGAGATTCGACTGAACTGAAGGTCAGTGCGTCGGCCGCGGGAAGTGAGATTGAGCCCGCAGTGATGGCTCCCGGCCGGTCACTAACGCGTGTACCTGGGTGAAGATCCCTGCTCCCGCTCCAGCGTGACAAGGAGAGGGGCGGTTTCTTGAGGGGCCTTACTGGGCTGCCACGCTGCTTGAGGTAGGTACCTAGACTTGGGGTACAGGAACGTTGGCCCGCACCTGCTGAATCACTGGTGCTTCGGAAATAGAGGTACCTAAGTATCAAGGTACCGTCACAGAGGTCCCTGCCAGTGCCTCTGAACCTTCTAAATTGGGCGGGAGGAAGGGGCGAACCACAGGAAGCGATCCTTCCTTCCCCAACCAGGGCAGTCAACCGAAGGGTGGCAAGCACCTTAATTCCAACCTTAGGTAACCTCGCTGGATATCTCCCGCACTCATCTCGCCTTTTTCAACTACATCTCTTTGCCAGGCCGACCGTTGTGGGCTTTTTGGACGGCATCACGTCCAGTCTCCGCGGCACGACAACGGAAGGGACAAGGAGACGACGGTTTGCTGACTTTTGGCAAGTCCTACTGCACCACTGCGGCTTCTCTTCCACCATCCGCGCACGCGACACGGCCCCAAGTCTCATCGCCTAGGAGCCGTCATATTGCGACGCCTTTCACTGGCCTTGGCACAAATTGCAATCACTTGCTACATCATCGGTATCGCATGAACATTTTACTTTGCTATCACTACAGAAGCTGCCCATCAAAATAGCTCCTTTCTCTCCATTGCTTTGGTAAGCGACCTATCTAGACTCAGCTTATCAGGACCCCGTTTGCTCATCTCATCTTGGTAGCTGAAACTCATCATGGCGGACAACACATCCACCCCCGCCGACCCGATGGCCGCAGCCTCAAATGCCATGATGGCCTCAATTCAGGACTACATTCGCACCGCCGTCACCACAGAGGTTGCAAATCTCCCAAACGCAACCCAGCCCGCCCAACTTGCGGCCCTTCAGAGCCGTCTCGAGACTGCCAACCAGGAGAACTCTGAATTGAAGGAGAAGATCAAGCAGATTGAGAGAAAGAAGTCCACTCGCCACAGTCGCAAGAGCACGTTTTTTCTCTACTCTTTGTCTTTAGCATATCGCTGACATCGATCAAGCAGGCGAGCGAGACACCGTCAAAGCGGCCTTCTCCTCTTATCTGGGCTTTCCTCTTCCAGACTCCAAGCTTTCCCGCCATTCCCACAGCAAGAGTAGCAAGTTCCCCCAATTCCAGAAGTTCCCCGTCGAAATTCGCATGAAGATCTGGAAGCTTGCTCTCCCTGCCGGACGCATTTTTGATCTCTCTAACGTCGATGCCCACTTCTCTCGTGTTCTCCGAGCCCCGATTGCCGCCAACAACGGCGCGCCTAACCCGGCTTTGGTCTTGCGCCAGGCCTCCGGGCTCACTGAAATGAGTGTGACTGCCCACAAGACGCCCAAGCTCCGACTCGCTTGCAAAGAGGCCAACAAGGCATTCCTTGAGGCAGGTGGCTTCGAATTTGGCTTGTTCGGTGGCCCATACAAAGGACTTTGGTACAACTATTCAGAGGACATCGTCTTTGTCCGCGAAGAGCCGCGTACCTGGGCCAACCTCGATATGTCACGCATCGTCCGTGTCGCCTTCCCGCATAATAGATTTATGTGCAAGGCCGATGCCACCGCCAAGATGGACACCATCCTCGATCACTTCACCTCCTGCAAGGAGGTCATTCTCATGCAGACCATGGAGTGGGATATCCGCTCCTGCCTTGCAAGCCCTCGACTGCCTGCCAAGCTTTTCCCGCTACAGGAAGCCGATCCTATTAGCACCCATGACTACCCGAAGGAACTTTCTGACGACGTCGGTAGCGTCGCAACCTGGGGCGATGTCAAGCGCATTGTTACCCAGATATGGGAGGACCACGTCGTCAACGTGAAGCATCTCAGCCCTGTCCGTGTTCCCAAGTTCTCCGGGATCGAGGTCCTTAAAGCTCGCCCGAGCTACTTTGACTAGAGGACAAGATATAGAAGGTAGCTTGGATGACTTTCAGCTTGATCCTTGATGATCCACGCAGGATTTGATATGTACCGTATTTGGGTACTTTCCATTGGGAGAAGAGGCGTTTGGGTTGGTTTCTTCATCGTACGATAGCTAGTCACGCATCAATTGATATCCACAAGGTCTTCAAAACGTACACTATTCATGCCTATCGCCGTTTCCCCCATATGACAGATCTGACGAATGAGGTCATGGTGTCAATCTTCCGCGAACCACGAGCTCTTATACATACAAATTCTTTTATAGAGTGACATGGATGGACCATGGAACCTAGCTTTCGTTTACCGGCCTTACTCACGCCTCAAAATATTCTGTAGCTGAGGTATGTAGCATTGCCTAGCGAGAGTCTGAGCTAGGACGCAAGACTTCTATCTGGTTAGAAAGAATCACCAAAGCCCTAAGACAGTCTTTCAGGGTCCATCCCAACATCCGGCTTCCTGAAGACCTCTACAGCCTCGAGGAGCAAGGGCCCCTTATTCATCCACGCATTCCAAGGCTCGTTTGAGTTTTCGAGGATGATCTCCTCTCTCTTCTGCAACAACATGCCCTTGACATGGCCCCATGTCAGAAACTTCTCAAACAGCCCCGGAAACGGCCCTGTGAAATAGTGCATTACCGCCGATTTTTCAACCATGATATCGTCGTCTCTCATATCTCTGAAGACTGGAACCGTCGTCGCAAAACCTTCAGTTCTGACATCTCCTACTTCACGCCGCTTGTCTAAGTAAAGCGCTACGACAAGGTGGCGGCAAGCACCGAGGGTTTGGGTCCTGGAACCCTCCTCAAGGAAAATTAAAAGTGCGACTTCAATAGAGATGTAGATCTTTCTCAAGCCCTTCAAGGGTGTATTGTACCACTGGTCGCAGGTCGCATAGTAGACTGCGTCCTGCGTTTCGTTGTACCAGAGGCCTCGGATGTTGGAGTTGTCAAAGTAGCCGAAGGTGAAACGACCAACCGACATACAGGCATCATAGGCGTCTTTGCAGGTCTCTCTGACCCGGGGAGGATAGTACTCGCGGTAGAATCGAGTCGGATGGTTAACACTTATCCAGGTTGCGTGGTTGTTTGGCTCGTAGATCCGTGGCGCAGGGAGGGCTTCGATCCAAATCTTGCGTTTGATCTCAGCAGGCAGCTCCTGGAACCGAGGGAAGTCCATTCTCGAATGCTGTGGTGCCATTTTCTGGGCCTTGAGCTTGCAGTCAGCAACATGATCGGTTTTGAGGGAAACAGGATCGAATCAGCTTACCGGTGATCCTAACTTGGAGGCTTGTTTGCGGGTTGCGCTTCGTGGGGCTTGTCGGATTGTGCCATGAGGAAGTCAGCTTTGAGTTGATATTGTGAATGAAGACGCCAAGACGAACCTTTCTTAGGAGCCTGGCTGAGAAAACAGTGACCACTCGGTGCACCGACATCGAGATGTTATTTGAAGGGCTGAGAATGTGGAAGGGCGAAAAGACTCAGCTCACCTGACACGCGTTGGCCGTGTGGGTTGCTGAAGAGAAGAATCTCAGAGGAAGGATTTTGAAAACGGAAGTAGTTCAAGTAGGCCCTCTTTCACTCTTTACCGGGGAGGCAGGTCCAAGGCAGGAGCAGCTCCTTCCTCCTCAAATATGCCAACGAAACCAGCAGGTGCGAGTGTGAGTTTGGCTCTTGGAGTACCTTGAAATACCTAGGTCGAGTCATTAACAGATTGTACGTTCCAAGTAAAACCGTTGCCGTTGCAGTATTAGTGCAAAGAACTGGTAACCTAAAGATACCGTCGCAGACTACGGAATCCCTGGAGGTCGATCGTCGTGGCCTCTTCACCAAAGCTCAGAAGTGTAAGGACGGCAAGATCAACGACGGTTTAGACTGCCTGCCAAGCCTTCTCTGATGTTTAAATGACTAACGTTCTCCCCCCCCCCCCCCCGGTGTCAAACTTGCAGCAGAAGCAGCCTCAGTCACTCCCGATCAGAGATCGTAAACGAGCACGAGTTGAGCGAAGAACTGAAGCGGCCGCTCGTACTCGCATCATGATGGTGCTGTCCATGAGATAATAGCTAAAAGTCTGGCAATGATTTAACGTGTACCACAACCAGAACCGGAAGGTCCTCAGCAGGGTGTTTAGAATCCTTGACGACTCTGGTTCCAAACCCCGACATGGAGCGCGTGAACAGAAGGGACCTTGCCATTTGATGCGAGGCGAGCTTGGTATTCTTGTAAGGATCAGGTGTCTGGACGAAGGTTCTCGGCGTTCACGGTGTTCGACGCGCCAAGTTTCTTATTTCGAGAATGATCTAAGGTAGCCGTAATGATTTACAATCTATGTGAGCATCAAAAGGACCACAGTCAGGTAACGTTTTTAGCTTGAAAACCGGAGTGGAGACTGTCTTTGAGTTGATAGCTATGGCCTTCTTCCCCCTCAGTCCCGTTGGGCAGGGTGTTTCCGGCCGTCTAACTATCTAACGAAGGCGATACCAAAAAGCGATCGTGGCAAGGCAGGAATATGAGAGGTCCTTGGCTTATGCACCGTTTGTGTGGTATCTTCTGAAATGATAACCTTCCTTCTCGATGCGAGGCTTCCGGAAAACCTCCACAGAACGGAAAGTGACGTCTCTCGTCTTGGATCCATCCTGGTAGAAGATCTCCTCTAGCTCATCTCTGTGTTCGGCCCAGGTCTTCAGCAGGCCTTCGCCCCAATCTTCCACGTCCACTATCTCAGCGCAGACGCGCTCATCATCCTTGACGGGGTAGAAGACTGGCTCAGTAGCTTCCATTGCCTCGCGAGTCGGTCCCTTGTTCTCTTCGATGGGAGCTCCGCGGGGTTGATAGGCGATTGTAAGGTTTTCACACCCGTAACAATCGCTTGTGAGCACTTCTCTGCATTCGTTCCGGTCAAGGACGATGGCGTCTCCGATTACGAGGTTCTTCACCTGAAGGTGGTTGAGGTACCAGTACTGTTCAGGACCAGAGAGATAGATGGCATCCAGATCATTGTTGTACCAGATCGATCTCATGGTGCCGTGGCCCAATGCGTCCTCAAAGTGGCCGAAGCGGAATTGGCCAGCCTTCATGCAGTATTCGCGAGCCTCTCTGTTTATCTCTCTGAAAGTCGGAGGTGCCCAGTGCTGATAGAACAGAATGTTTCTTGGGTCGTGTTCCCGGTGATTGTAGTATGTGATTGGCTCGTAGATTCTACCAGGCGGGAGGCACAACTTCCAAATCTTGTCCTTGAGCTCGTTGGGGAGTCGATTGAAGTAGCACTCATGGTCTATCTCAATAGTTAGAGATTCTCTCATTGACGATAGAAGGGAGCTTAAATACCTTGAATGCGAGCCTGGGGAGGTTTTTTAGTTTTCTGGATAGACTCGACAACTTTGCTTGCTGCCTTCAAGAGGAGGGTGATTGCATCTTGACGCAGTTCTTGGTCCTGCTGGCCGTCGGCCTGCGTGATTCCGGCCAAGGCCAACAACAGCGAGGAATGCGTGTTTCCGATTGAGAGCTTTTCAGCCTCATCAAGGTTGGAATAAACCTTGCTTGATGTGTCCAGCAGGCTGGCGATGGCGGTCTGTTGTTTGTCGAGCTGCTGGAAAGAAGAGATGATCAGGCTGGTGGAACTCATCATGCTGGAGATTGGATCATTTTCGTATCGGAGAAGCTCGATCTTCTCATCAGGCTCAGGTTGCAAGTTCGAGGCCATCTTGGTAGCCCTGGCCTCGGAGTCGAGGTGGTTGATGCGACTTCTTTTACCCACCTCGATGGTAGTGGTTTCGTCAAAATTCGAAGGTCTCGAGAGGAAGCAAATGAGGTCTTGTATCCATAAACCTGCTCCTGCCGACCATCTTGAAAAGAAAATTTTGTTTGTGAAGCAGCAGGGCTTTGCTTGGTCGTCAATATGAGTGATCACGTATAGTGAGAAGGACTAGCATCAAGCGGGGACAGTCGACATTTGGCCCCTAGATTGCAGGCCATTATGGCTGCCTAGTCTTTATCAGATGCCACCATTGAAGTTTTTGAGATAATACAGCAAGTAAATTTGATTGTGAAGTCTTGTCTGCTGACAAGGAGAACTAGGCCAATAACTTTTATTGCTATGTGAAGTGGATCACCACTGACTGTTCCTTCACACTAGGCTAAAGCCCTGAGTCTTGACTTCAATCAGACATTGGTTACTTGTGCATATTAAGTAGATTCGAAGGTGCCTATCTGGCGTTGGAAAGAGCAAGGTCAGGTGTGTGCCTTCTATATGGCGAAACTTTGGCGTTGCCCTTTTCTTTTTACCTGTATATTACCTTCTACACCTTGGCACTCCCATCCTCTACACTCCCATCCTCCACACTCCCATCCTCCACACTCCCATCTCCCACACTCGAAATATTCTCTCTTACCTTCTTCGCCCTTTCCCTCTCACACACTCAGAACCTTCGTCATCTGCAACTGATATCCACCACACCTTTCCCGCATACCTCATACCTCAACCCTCAACTCGAGAGTCAGCCCCAAGCCCACAAAGATGGACGAATCGGCGAAGCTCATCAAGAGCTTGACCGACGGCCTTAAGGCCATCAACAAAGTTCAGGCTCAGCAATCGAAGACCTTTTCTGAACTTGCAAGGTTGTGCGTCGCAGAAAATGCCCCTGCAGTAGATGTCGCCCGAGTCAAAGATCTTCAAGGCAAGCACACTCCGTTAAAAGCAGCATTGACCGCGAAAAGACTGACCGGGGGAAAATGGCAGTAGATACCCAAGAGACGTTGGCGAGTATCATGAGACTACAGACCAAGATTATGAAAGAGCAGGCGGCGATGGTCCTCTCAAGACAACAGGCCGCGGCGATGCCCTCCAAACAGCAAGAGCAGGAATCTCTTTCCGGTGAGTTCTCCTTCGAACCTTTCTGGGGTTGATCATACTTGACGACCGTGGTATTGACTCTTCCCAGTGAGAGCTGCAGCTTTCCCAAAATTCGGTCGTCTCCCCGCTGAACTGCGGAGACTCATTTGGAAAATGGCACTGCCAGGCCGTCGGGTTCTCGAACAGGCGGACGGAGTAGCCGCGTATCCCGAGCTCTGCAAGAAATTCAGACCTCCTGTGATTCGAGCCGTCTGCAAAGAAGCCTGGGAGGTTACCGAACAGAATGGGCTATTCGTCTACGGCCCGGAGCTCACTGCGTCTGGGGGAACCTGGTTCAACCCCAAGCAGGACGTGATCATTATCCCAGATCCCGGAAAGGACTACTCGCTGGGACCGCTTGAGGATTGTCGTCCTGAAATCATCGCTGTTGACTGCCGATACTTTGAACAAGACGAAAACTTCGAACGTGTCTTGCATTGTGCGCTGCAACTTAGGAGCTGCCGAAGGCTCATCATCCTCTTGCGGACAGCCCCCAATTTAACATACAAGAAGGGAGCAGCGCCGAAGCTATTCAGCCTTCAAGCCAAAGATGTGATCTGGTCATTCTACGCAGATGAAAAGCCAAAAGGTCCCTTTGGGGAGGACGATATTTCGTGGAAGCATTTCAAGGACGCGATCCAAGCTGATTGGGATAATGAAGTGCGTAAGAGCGGAAGAATGGATATATACATAAAGTATGGCGGCGTGCCTGTCATCGAGGGGATGGAGTTGATCATGTGCAAGGAGGACGAGACATCCCATGGTTTCTGAGCAGCGACGTAGGGACAAAGCGAATCCCATGGGCAAAATGTCAAGATCCCATAGTCCAAAACAACGGTCTTTCTCCTTAGACAGAACGCATGTCTCGATGAGACTCATGGGAGTTACTTTCAAGCTCTAGTCTCACGGCGTTTAGATTTAAATCGAATCGAAAGCTGATGGATGCGTCAATTCCGTCGTCGTTTTCATGTTGAGAGATACCAGCTGGGCCAACATGGTTGAGTGGCTTGGCTGCTACAAGCACACACGGTGAACACTAGAAAGTAAGTCTGAGTACCTTTTGAGCTTTAATCCTCAAAGAGAACTCAGTATAGTTACGCTACACGGCACTATGCTGCTTATATCCTATGTTTAGAGCCCAGTGGCTTTCTTCTTCAAGCGATACTTCCGAATTAAATGTAATCAATGAGACTACGAACAGTACCTGAGGCGGTGGTACACGCAGGTGAGGTGACACCAGCGGCTCTAAAGCATTGAGATTACTCCCTATGTACCAAGCATTAGACGTCTGGATCTGGCTGTCATGGAAAGTCGTGGAGACATCCAATTAAGAACTCGGGTTTGCCCGTGAAGCTGCTCGGGGACCTTGGCCCTCAGCGTAATTGCAATGCTGGCATTTCGATCTGATCATACAACATTTTAATGTACCGGCTGCGCTTCGTGAACTGCACCAAACCGATTGTCTGGAAAACTACACTCAGGTTCCCAGGGCCAGAGGGAAGTTTTGATCGTGTGTCACAAACATCTATACTCAGCCTTCAGGTTCTTTGTTTTTCCAGGTCGGATACCCAAACTAGGACGCTCAGGCCAAACAAAACCAAAGACGAGACTATTTCTAGCCTCGTAGATGTAGGGAGAGTGGCAGCTTGCGTTTCTGATCCTTATTTGTTTAGGCATGGTGGACTATGCTGACGTCACCGCATCGAATGATTCGATCTTGAAAACGGCAGTCTTGTCTACGACGTTCCTTGGGTACTGAAAGTAGTTGATGGCATTGGTTGATGAGAAATTGAAGAGATAGCCCTGCGTGAGCATGGTGTTTCCTGGTTCGGGGCAACACGAAAACTTTCCAGTTTCGTCAATCTGGTTGCCTCTCCCTGTGATGTGATTCCGAAGTGCTGAACAAACACCACGACGCAAGCAGTTGATATAAGAATCGTAATTCCATCCTCTGGCAGAAACATTTGAGAACATACCAGCCAGCTCACCATCCGTTCCAGTCAGCTTCCCTCCTACAGTTCTTTCCAACCAATCCACTGTCATTATCATTCTCTTCCACTCTCTTCACAAGTCAACATGTTCCCCAACACCCTCACTCTTTGCCTTGCACTCACACACCTGGCTGCGAACCTCGTGGCTGGAGAAGCCGCATTCTACGGAACAATCCCAGCCAGCGAGCTCCAAATTCCGTCTTCGACCAAAGGTGCCGCAGCTTCATGGACCACCTCCTTCATCGCTCCTCGCTCCACCAGCAAACCCGCGGTTCCTTCCATCGACAGCCCAGTCTGGTACGCCCAAGAGACCTTTGACGAGGCCCCTCCCCTCGAGAAGAGAATCAACGTCGCCATCAACCAGCAGCCGAGAAACTGCAACAAGGAGTCCGACTTCAACCCTCACCCGCCAATCCACTCCGACAAGCAGCTCAAGGGCGCGGACTACTTTTGCAACAACTACGCCGGCTTCATGGAGTCCAGCATGAAGTCTCTTCGCGTCGAGTGGCACGATGAGTTTCAGGGTCGCCACCAGTACAAGGTCTCCTGGGCTGTAGGCTGTGTCGCCGACGGAGACAGGCAGCATGTTAAATATCCCAATGGCCTTTCCAACACCAACCCGAGCTGCAACGACTTGATGAGGGATAACTACCTACAGTGTGAGTGTCTGACAGCTTCTATATGGTTGAAGTTCCCTCTGGTGAAGAGATTTTGTTGCTGATACGGTACTGCTCTAGGTAACAACGGTGGCGTTGGAGGTAGGGTACAGGTGGGCTGCCTTGTTTACGCTTACAACGGAGGGACCGTCGCGGGGAGGGATTATGAGTCTATTGGGCTGTGGTGAGCGGCCGATCAAGATCGCTCATCTTCTTGTCGAGTTTATGGTATGCGAATGGGAGGGAGCTATAGCTCTCACTCTCAAACAAGGCAGCATGAAGCACCCGATCGACTTCTTCTCTTCCCTCCAGATTGTGCAGCTAGATAGAATATACTCAATACATACATCCTCGAAACGTCTGTGTCAGATAGAACGGACTGACAATTTGCGTGAGGCAGGAGGGCCACGATAGAACAACGACAGAGGGAGAATCATTTGGGAAAGCACCTGGCGGTCGTGGATGGGCTTAATGAAGCCAGTTCCAAACGGGCGAGCTTTTGGAAACATTTCAGGAAACACAGCCACAGCAAACGGCTTTTATCGTGAACTATGTTACAACTGGGCTTCTTAGTGAACCAGTAGCCCCAATCAGAAGCTATGAGAGCAACTGTGAGTATGCGGAAACAAGCCTAAGAATCAGTACCATGAAGGAAAGATTTTTCAATACATGAGGAAACAACCATCTAGTGCCTGATGAACGCTTCTAGCAAAAGTAAGGTTGAGATGAGTTGAGGGACAGAGAGAGGTAATCGGACGTTGGACAATGACGATTTGTTTGCCCTGCACGGTGCATCAGGAGAAGACGTGGCTAGTCCTAAAAGGGCATGGTGCGGGGTAGTCGAGCTAAGGACCTTTGGAGGTTGGTCGGCCTGCCAGGCACTCATGCCAATGCGTCGTCGCGGGGCAGCTTTCTTCGGAGTTCCATCATCAACATCAACCTTCCCATTCTACCTACCGACACGAACCCTGCAGTCTTGGAGCCGCAAAGATGTCTACGGTTCACATCAAGTCGGCAGCGGAGTTCCAGAAACTCCTGTCGAGCTCCCGTATCGTCGTTGCTGACTGTGAGTACTACCCGACCACCGAAGTCACTGCACCCCTGCCTCTCCATCCTGGATGACGCCAGTGAGGCCATATACGGCCGCGATAGCTCCAACGCGATGTGGTAGCGGCTTCATTGCCTCTCGGTATCGCGCCGGCCACGTTCCTACTTCTTCATCTAGGAGGCTATTGAGCTGCTCGCGGGATGCATCCACGATTGAGTTGACGTGCTGACAAATGGATTCTAGTCTACGCCGACTGGTGCGGTCCCTGCAAAGCTATCGCGCCCCTCTACGAGCAGCTTTCCTCGTCCCTGTCCCGCAAGAATGTCGTCACTTTTGTCAAGATTGACGTCGAGTCCCAGAAGGAGATCGCCTCCGCCTACAGCGTTACTTCCCTCCCGACTTTCATGATCTTCCGCGAAGGCAAGACCATTGAGAAGGTCCAGGGCGCCGACCCCCGCAAGCTCCAAGAGGTGGTCAAGAGGCTGGCGAAGGAGGTTTCCGAGGGCGGTTCAGGCTCTGGCGAGGCGTCCGGAAGTTCAAGCGGAGGCAACTGGAGAGGCGCAGAGTTCCCTCGCGGCTATGGCGACGTTACCGGCCAGATCGAGCCCAAGGGCTGCGAGCTGCTGAACGCCGACGAGGATTTTGGTCCTGTCAAGGTCTTGTTCGACCCATCCAAGCCCAGCGCGCTTGCGAAGAAGGAGGGCGTGAAGGATTGGGTTGAGAGTGGTGCCGATGACCAGCTCTTGCTGTTCATGCCGTTCCAGTCCATGATCAAGCTGCACACCCTTCAGGTATGATTGGAAAATTGTAGTTAGACACAGCGTCAGTTGCTAACCCATCACGCAGCTCACCTCCCTGCCTCCTACCGACGATGACGACGACGAGGCTCCTATGCGCCCGGGCACCATTCACCTCTACACAAACAAGCCTCATAACCTCGACTTCAGCGAAGCCGACGATACACCTCCCACGCAAGCCATCGAGCTCACCGAGAAGGACTGGAACGCTGACGGCACCGCCAACATTGGCCTTCGTTTCGTCAAGTTCCAGAACATTAACAGCTTGATCATTTACGTAACCAAGGGTGACGGCGACGGTGAAAAGGTGCGTCTCGATCGCGTGCGCCTCATCGGCGAGTCGGGCGAGAAGAGAGAAATGGGCAAGTTGGAGAAGATTGGCGATGAGGCCGGCGAATAGAGCGGATCGGTGGGTCATTGAAAACCGGTCTGGTGAAAAGACAAGAAAGAGGAAGAAAAGTCTGCACTCGAGACCCCATGCGACGAGAATCATGAATAGAGCAATAGTTATAGACGCCTCCGGTAACAGTTTGTGCCGGAGGCTCAAAATCCAAAACCACTGAGCCACAAACAGATTGCATGGTTGAGCATGATTGACGCTCGGTAATGCAGAGTCACGCATTTAGGCGGTCATACATGAGACGATTCTAGAGCGCGCGTGGTGCGCCAAGTTAGGAAACGTCCACGGGTTGCGACGACATACTGCCTTGAGCTCAACCGCGAGGCAGGTAATAATAGGTGACATAGCCGCATAAGGCGTACTTCTCCCGCCTGGGTCGTCGCATTCACTTTGCGAGTTCCAGCCAAGAATAAATTTGGCTTGAAGGGTTGGATATGTCCGGCCCATCGATCGCGACCCAACTCGCTACAAGAGCAAGAACAGGATCTATGATGGACGAGGCCGGCTGCAATTAAAATTCGATCTGGGGCACGATTGACGCCATGAATTCACCGACTTAGGAATTCCAGCAACAGGGGAAACTGTAACGAATCGTGCCAGCCGCACGAAGAAAAAAAGAAGAAAAAAGAGAAGCCTCCGAAAGAGCCGCGACCAAAAATTCTTTTTTATATCGTGAGATGGGTCCCTGCACGCCCGCCCGGAGTGGGTCCGATGCAGCTGGACTAAGGGCACCGGAGGAACCTTTTCGCGGACAAACGGAAGATAGCCGCGGCAGGCTCCGCGGGCTGCAGGTGGACGCGGCGTTCCACTGGGTGACTGGCTGCGCTGGTTGCGGACGTGAGTCACGTGACTGCACCTCAGTCTGCGAGCCTGGCGAGGTACCCACGTACCTTAGCATGCTTAGGTAAGACCGTAAAGAGAGTGAGGCCCCACTGGACGTCCCGTTGTGCTGCCGGACCTGGTCAGTGCGCCTGGAGTCCACTCAAACGCCCGGTCCCCACAGTTTGCACTCAGTGTGCGACGAGCAGCATATCGGATTTGAGCCAACTAGATGACACCCACCCCAGTCGTCATCCAAAGTCCATCAGAACAACTGCGAACGTCCAGCCAGCAACAAATGAAGACACCCTCTTCCATCGTCTTACTCAAGCCGTCGTGTGCGCCGAGCTTACTACCTATCCTATTCTACTCGCCCGCTTCATCGAACTAAACAATGGGGGGATTCCGGCTTGCGCAACACAATATGCCCACCCCCAATAAGCCATGTCGACCAGGGCTGAAAGAAAGCTGCTACCATGCACGGTTCTAATTGTACTAGGCAAAGCCAAGTTGTGCCGAAGGGCGAGAGGAGGCCAAGGGGTGTCATCTGCGCAGGGGGCTAGGTCCTAGGATACCTGGATACGACAGATGATGAGCCGGATACTTCAACCAAACGGTCACGCAACGTCGTCAAGTGCCCTATCAAGTCCCCTTCAGATTGATTGAGCCTGGGCCCGTGATGAGGCGGCGGAGACCCAACCTGAGGAGGTGCCAGGAGGCAACGCAATATGCTTAACCAACCTACCTTGTCCGCTTTCGTATCGTTCGCCCGATCCCAAAGCCTCAAGCAAACGACCTTTGAACCCCGTACCCACCTAATCGACCGAGCCCTTCGGAGCCCCTCCCTTCCTTCGTCGTCTGTCGCTCTCGGCAAGCTCCTTACCACGTCCGCCCCTCTTCCGATGCCACCACTTCCCCGAACTGGCCCCGGCCAACGTCTTGGCATGGCTAACCGTCTGCCATCTCGTTGGAACCCTGCGGTCACCTTGCAGCGCCGTGGCAGTCCAGCGCCGTGCTACGCCGTAGCATGGTTCGAATGACAGCAGACCGATGCTTCCAATCTGTCTAATCTGGACCGCCCTCTCTTTCTCTCTCTTGCGCGCGCGCGCCCATGCAAGCTCGAGTTGCTAGCTATTTACCGCCAGCTTATGGCATCACGACTCGTCATCGGATTACGAGGGGCAAGCGTTCTCTCGTTGACCGCCAAATTTAGAATTCGCGCCATGTTCATCGCGGGCTTCCGGCGGCGGCGGACCGAGTTTCTTACTACCTTAGTCTATCGGTGCGCTTTTTCGCAACTCCGCCTCGCCAAATCGGCACCGAGGACCCATTTTCACATATCGTTTTCGCCATGCTTAAGACCTTAAGAGGCCCGAATATCGACGTGCATTCGCCCGCTCTGACATCGGTGCGTCATTAACTGCCGGCACGATTACCTGATGTGGCAGTCATGGCGGCCAATAGTTCATTTGTTGCGGCGTACCGGTCGTGACATCCCACGTTGCTTTTGCCCACTAACGACACCGCAGGGACGGTAGATGACCATACCTTACCTTAGTCTAGTCAAAACTGACAGCCATCAGATGATCCGGTCTAGCCCCAGTTTCACCAGTGTGATGGGGACTCTCCGGACGGCTCACAAAACCCAGCTTACATCCGCCGTTTGCAAGCAACAAGTCCGGTTGCGTTTCCTCACGTTTCACTTTCTTCCCTGTCAAGAAGCTCCTTGAGTCGTCTCTCCTTCTTCCTTTGGACAAGATTCGAACACACATCTCGCTCCGCTTCCGAGCAGCCCCGTCTCATTGGTGTCGTCCCATCAGCAAACCTCATCAACCTGCGAAAGCTGCTAGTGCCAGGTCTCCAAGATAAACAGATAAACTCCCCTCACCCACACTTCACCCCGGCGCGATCCTCGAAACAAACTCCTACCCTCATCTATGCGAGATCTCTCGGGCCGCTAGTCGAAACGTTAAACGAGTGGGTATCGCGGTCCTATATTTCAACGCCAACCTCCCCGTCGGGGACGTTCGTCTCGTCCCATTGCGTGTCTGCTGGCTGCTGCGTGCCTACGAAGTATCTGCCCAGTCGTTGCGTTGCGCGGTCGCTGTCCGAGTGGTTGGGTCACGTCGATCATTAAAGTTGTTGCCCCCCCCCCCCCCCAGCTAGAGATCATCCGGCCTTAAAGAAGATCGACCGCCAGGTTCACAAACCGCCCGCATTGTGTGTTTCTGAAGATCTCTTTGCTGCGATGCAACCCAGCCTCAGCGTCACACATAGATCAACATGCCTTCAACATTATTTCCGTCTATCTCGAAGGAGTTTTCGAGTCCCACAACCACCCCCGGAGAGGCGTTCCCGATGATGAAGTTACCAGTGGAGATCCGATTAATGATATGGGAGTACGCTCTCCCAGAAGCGCGCGTGTACGAAGTCATGGACTCGCCGAATGCAAGCCAAAAAACGCCTGCGGCAGCCGGGCTCATGTTCGCCAATGTTCGAGATGAACCGCCACCAGCGCTGGGCGCGGTATGCCATGAGACGAGGGTGTTTGTACTACAACGCTACAGACCTCTCGCTCTCTCGGCGACGACGAAATACGTCGACCTATCGCGCGATATCCTTTTGCTCGAGCCGTACTTGCTGGTCAAGCGGTTACTCCGGACATTGCAGTTCTTCAGCCAGATCCCTCTTGTGCGAGACAACCTCAGTCGGCTTGCGTTTGGAACGTCATACGGACTCTACACTGGCATCTGCCACCCGGTGCTCAGTTGGAAAGTCTCCAAGTCCATTATATCGACGCTGCTTGCCCGTCTGGCAAAGTTCCCCAGATTAAGGAAGCTCGTATTTGTCGTCCACCAGGAGTTCCAGTTCGACTTTGACATTCGACCTCCATATGCCACATCTCATATGAACTACCCAGATCCGCAACGACCACAATTGGTGCACCAAGGATACCGCTTCAAGTTCGATATTGAGTCACAGCTCAACTATACACAGCCGCGACACCCGCACTCTAATCAATTTCTCTATTACCCGCTGGACGTCGACGACGACAAGGACGACTGTTTCGACAAGGATGACTTGGAAAACGAAGGCGACCTGTTTGAGTCGTGGCCCACGAATGACGACTGGCGGCGCTTCAGGCGGAGGTTCCAAAGATCTATCCACCTTGTCGGAAAGGGCTCGCCGGGATGCCAGCGGCCAAAAGTCATGCCCAAGCTTGAGGGCGCGAGTCTATTGTGGAAGTACAGCAAGGCACAGCATTATTGATGCACTTTTTTTATTTTTTTGGGTTGGCGTTCTCTTGGGTGTGGAGTTTAGGGGCTTGCATGCATTATCTATACCCTCTTTAGATCTTGACTTCAAGGTTCTCGGTTAGGCGCAATACAGCGGCATCTGGGCTTGTAGTATCAGTCTCATCATTCAGGCTGCATATAAAACGGATAATAAGTCACACTCTTCAAAATGCATCTTGGTGACCACAGTATTTCCATTAATTTTCAATCTGCCTCTAGAGGCAGACTACATACTGTGTGATCCCACGCGAGAAGGCTCAACACGAGTTCCCGCCATTGCTTATGCCTCATTATCATTCTTATCATCGTCATGTCATTATTCGCACACCACCCTTCCTCCCATCTTCCCTTGCTCAAGCTTTACGCCCACTGCGATTCCGACCGGAGTCCGAATACGATGGACACGATCAGGAAGGAAATGGAAAATCCAACGAGATTCGCCAGCAGAACCACACTGAAGGCCGATTCCTCCTCCTCCTCCTCCTCTTCTTCTTTTCCCTCCATCTCTACTACGGCGACTACGCCCCCGCACCGCTCGGCAGGAGTGGCAGGAGAGGCGGGAGACTTCTCGCCGTCCGTGTCGGAATTACCATCGCCGAGAGCCCACTTCTCGAAATCCCAATTCACCGCATCCAGCTCTCGCCGGATCTCCTGATCAGCCAGGCTGTACTCCGAATCCTCCTCACTCTCACACCAAACGACGGAGGAACAGAAGAGACAGAGATGCTCCTCCGAAGTAATCTCACTCCCACTCTCACTCTCATTCACCTTCGCTGCGCTGAGGTCCAAAGACCGCGGCCGTAACTCCTCAAGGTGCGGGGCGACCACCGGTGGCTGTGGTTGTGGCAGTGGCAGCACAGGCGGCGGGAGAACCAACTCCTCAATCTCCGCCTCGACGGGGAGTTCGTCGACGTGGAAGGGGTCAACAACAACCACATCATCACGTCTCTGGATCGCCCTCGCAGCCTCGATCCCGTATTCGAAGTACGAGAACCTCTTGATCCAGGGCTCGTTGCGGGTGAGGGGTTCTTGTTCGTAGTCGGCGTACTGGAAGCGGGAGAGCCGGGATTTGACGCGAGGGCTGCGGATGCCGTATTCTGCGAGGGTGCGGGCTTCTAGGGCGACATCTTCGAAGGAGGTCCAGCCGATGTTGTTGCTGTAGTTGTGGCTGGGGGAGGGGGAGATGGTGCAGTCTATGCAGCCGGGTGTGGTGGGGTTCCAAGTGGAAGGGGCTTTGAATCCCGGAGTCGCGAGCTCGGTTGGAGGAGATTGAGACTCCCTCCCCTCTATTCCCTTCTCTCCAGGCTTGTTGGGAGCGTATACTTGCTCGAATAGGGCCTTGGTGATGGCCTCGGCCCTGGAGGCTGATTGGAGCATCTTGACCTCGTCAGGGGTAGGGGTCTCGCTGACTTCTCCCAGAGACTCCTCGATCGTCTCGAGACTCATGGTAGTGAGTCTCGGACGAGTGGAGCGATCGTGCCAGACGTGAGGGTATCTCGCAAAGTAGGTACGGGCAGCCGCCATTTTTGCTACTGATGGTATATGTGATTGAATACTTGGGTGTAAAGTGACTTGAGAAAGTGGTGAGTGTAACTTGAAGTTGTTAGAATTATCAAGATGATTTATGGGATATGAAATGAACGGAGAACGATCAATGAGACAGGAAACGGGCCTGTTTGATATACTACATACACCGTTCTTCCGGAGATACCTCATGTCTTTGAGTTTTCGCAACTTTTCTCTTGGTCGGAGATACCTTCACCATCGGACCATGATACTCTCTGCTCTGTGTTTAGACTTCAGTCGTACCACGATCCTGCGCTCAATCAGAGTCCAGCGGAGATATTTCATGCCATGCAGGTGCCTTTGGGACATTTGGCTCCTGGGAAAGAACTGGGACTATTCGGTTTGCGGCTTGGCAATGTATGACTCTTGACGACTGCGTGATGACACTTCTTGCGGGACGTTTGAAGCTTCATTCAACCTCTAATTTGTTTTTTTAGTACGTAATCTGCCAGATCCTGAACATAACACTAATAAGACATGATCCGAGGTACACTCGAGAATCCAGCTTGGAAGATGTGCTCAGAGATAAAGTCTACATGATCCAAGCTAATCCAAGAGTCTCGGACTTCATCAAGATAACAAAAAGGGGCGCGGTCAAAGGCAAAGCAAGAGTTCAACTTAACTTTGCCACGGACTCGGTAGACTCGAGAGTAATTCGAGATGGTACGTTAGTTCGGTCTTCTTCGCGGCCATGTTCTTGAAATATGCACAATAGATCACGAAAAAGTTGAGCACCCGTGTAGACTCCAGTCTTAACCCACCAAGTAATTATCTGGGCCATTAATCATCCACAACAACCTTGAGGGCGAGGGACCGCTATCCCATCGGACTTCTAACTCATACAAAAAAATGCAAAAAGCTCAGCTCCCTATAACAGGGAACCTACGAAAGATCCGAGGAGACTCTTACCAGCCTCAGGTGTAACGATGCAAGGATTTTTACAAGAACAATACGGGACTCGAACCCGGGACCTATGAGTGCGGGGCTATTCCCATCTAAGTGACATTCCCCGCTACGTCACAGGCCTTGGTGATGGAATGCCTCCCTTTTAATAATTATAGTGGGTGAGGTGGTGGGTGGTGGGCGATGTGCGTGAGGCCGGGCGGTGAGAGATACGGGTGTCAAAGGTGAATCACTAGGCTGGCATCACACGGTTCACATTCGTCGGTAGAGATTAGCCACGAAATACCATCATTTTCGCAAACCTTTTTTTTGATTAAGGACTAAGACTAGAGATACCACGCTATTTCGTCCGACCTTGGGAAATCCAAAGCCGTGATGTAGTCCAAGAGGATTGCCTTAGAGCTTCTTGTCAACCACATGAAGAACGCGGTGCTGGGATCAAATGTGGTTGGCCTGGCGAGCAGATACCTAGGCAACAACACAGCCATATACATTTACTGCTTCCAAGCCCTTGGAAATAATAATTAGATAGAGGATGTATTGATGTGTTTATCAAGGGTACGCCGAGATAGACAGCCACAGAGTAGTGCAGATGATAGTAGTCGGTCATTTTTATTGTCCGAAACCTGCTCGTGACGTGCAAGTCTCTCAAGTTTCCGAGATTTATTCCATTTGCATCGTTGCCAACCCCCATTAGAGCCCGGTATTGTTCCAGAGTGTCCTCACAGTCGAAAACGTGTGCCATATTCCCAGCAGTTGTCCAGGAAGAAAGCGACGCTGCGCTCAACAGCCGAAATTTTTTCGGGCAGTCTTCTCTCATTCCGTAGACTTCGACTCATTTGCTAAACTTCTCTGCCATGATCGATGCTAAGCCGTCGCACCATCCCGTGGCCGCCTCGATTAGGAAACCGATGTAAACCCCAGAAAAGTGGTAGGAGTGCCTGGTAAAGATGGTCGGCCAGGGCCCGGTGACGAACGAGTGGGCCATCGCGATACCATAGCCCAATATGCCGGCTGTCATGATGCCGGATGTGCTTCTCGGACCCTTCGGCCAATGTTCCAGGATGGCGATGCACGAGACCGGGAATGCGATCATCGCGGCGACGCCGTAGATGACAAAGAGTTCCTCCGACTCAACTGTGCAGGGTTCGCTGCCAAGGACCGCCAGGACGACCCAGCTCGAGAAGTTGACAGCGAGCGCGCATAACAACTGTTCGGCTATTTCCTTCTTTGACTCGACTTCCTCGGTAGAGGGTTTGGGTGGTTTCTTCATTGTCAAGGGAGGTGGGTAGGTGGATTTGTTATCTCCCATGTTTGAAGAGGGACTTAGAGTCGCGGTGTATCGCTCTTGAGGCAGTATTACGCCCAAAGGACCGATGCGTAGCGCGAGTCCTGAGTTTAGCATTCAAAGATTGGTAGTGAAGTGCTATGAGTTTGGTGGACTTTGGTACATGGACAGCAGGACCTGCTCGGATATTCAGTGCTCGCCGGAACGTTTGTGGAGGAAGATGATATAGGCCATCTCGTTTCGGCTCGCTCTACAACCGTGGGGAAACCCGCATTATGTGTACGGGTAACCGCGATGGTCTCTCCCACAAACTTAATCCAGCCGCATCCCAACCTTGCGTAGGCCTGAAAACGCCTGAACGGTACGTCCAACCTTGAGATCTCAAAGGTTCTGAGCCGCGCCGGACGAAGAGGAAGGCTGAGTCTTGGCCGCATCCTCGCCGCCAACAGTACGGATCTTCCTCGGCAGAGGCTCCTCCTTCGAGTTCTTGAGGGCCTCGAGAACCAGCCCCATGAGCCCCGTCACCCCCTCAATCCAGAACCCGACGTGGAACCCGCTCAGCAGGCAGAACTCCCGCCCCAGAGTCTGCCCGACGCCAACGGTCCAGCTCGGGACCGTGATCCCGTAAATGAGCGTGGCAGTGAAGCCCAGTATACTGCTCAGGATTCGCTGATGGCCCGTACGGGGCCAGACGCCGTACGTCATGATGAACACGCCGGCCCCTGTGATGAAGAAGAAGACCGTGGCGGGGATGGCGAGGAGGAGCTTGGCGTCTTCGTCGCCGGAGGGCGATGGCCTCACAGAGAGGCTGCCGATTGTCGCTAGTGCTGCCAGGTTGAGAAAGTACCAGGTTGCGAAATAGTTTTCGGACGGCATGAGATCATCGATGTGTTGTCTCGGGGCAGTATTGGGAGTGTCTGGCTTCGTTGTCGGGGGCGCTGCGGTACTTGATTTAAGTCCATCGCTGCTTGCTACAGGCTCTGGTCGTGGAATTGGCGTTGGAGTTGAAGTCATGTTTCTAATCGAGCTCCCCACTTCGTTGTAAGTCAAGAAATCTTTTTAAGATCTTCGCTGGCTAAAGCCTTTGAATGGATGCTTTTATTTGAACAATAAACATGTAATGAAGAAGCTGACGGTGGAGCACCAGGAGAATATGGGTCAAAGTACTTATGTGAGATTGGAATGCGAAGCGGCAACTATGTGCCGGTAGCTTGGCTCGGTGGCCTCCGAATCCTTCATAAGCCGGGCGACGATGAAGCGGGCCTTGGTCCTTGGTTGGACCCATTGACTTCATTTTGCCCAGAAGCTAAGTATGCGCAATTCAGCTGTTGATTCGAATGAAATATGCGACGTCTTTTGTGCAACACAAAATAACCGTGATATATTGCTGTGTAGGCGAATAGATCGAAAAACAGCCAATGCGATCGGAAGCGACAGGAGCGGCGCAGCTTGACCAAGTAGCTTAGTAGCCCAAATGCTGAGATCGCGTAAGGAAAATGTAAATTCGAAGGGAAGAAAAGCGCCCGAGAAGTGTCATTAACTGTCTAATACTTGCTAGTCTATCAAGATTGCGATTTGACCATGAAAATCTGTAACACACGTCAGTAAACATTCGCACAAGAAGTGTTCGAGCAACACCAAGACGTACCGCGTTCAATGCCTTGTCATCCATAGTCGCCATCCTCTTCTGCGCGATCCACCGTGACCTCACGGCGTGGTGGCCTCTGAGCACCGGCGTCGACGTACCACTGGCCGTCGGTGTTGTTGACGCTGATGCTGACGCTGCCGCCGCCTTCTTCGCGCGCTTCTCCTCCTTGCGACGCTTCTTCTCCTCTTTCCTTGCAGCCTTCTCGGCATCCGTCTCGCCCTTGCGCTTCTTCTTTGACGACTTGTCGTCTGACGATTCGTCTTCGTCGCTGTTGTCGGCGGCCTCCTTCTTGGCTTTTTTGCTCTTCTTCTTGTCCTTCTTCGCCTTCTTCTCTGCCGTCTCGTCCTGGGTATCTTCGGAAGCATCCTCCTTGGCCGCAGACTTTGATTTGCTGCGTTTCTTCTCCTTCTTTTCCTTCTTTTCTTCCTTCCTCCGCTTCTTCTTCGCCTTCTCGTCCTCAGAAGACGAAGAATCGTCTTCGCTCGACTCCTCGGCCTTGCGCTTCTTCGACTTTTTGCTCGATTCGGGGATATCCTCCATGTTGACGTCGTCGCTGTCGCTATCGTTCTTCTCCTTCGCCTCGGCCGTGGGTTCCTCCTTGATCTTGTCGCCGACGAGGAATCCACCGCTAACGAAGCGCATGGGTCCAAACTTGTTGTCGCAGTACAGCGTGCTCTTCAGCGCCGTGCGGGCCTCCTGCTCCTTGGCAATGACCTCGGTAGACTTGCCGTTCAGGCGTCCAAGGAGGTCGGAGAAGACGTCCATGCCGGTGACCCTGTCATCCCTTGCCTGCTTGAAACCGAGACCGAGCATGTCATCCTTAAGGGCGACGCGAATGAAGGAGGCATTGGCCGCCGTATGATGCACCGCGTGCGCTGCGTCCTTTGCACCGAGGTACTGGCCGGGTTCCCAACCCTGTGATCGCAGGATCTTCTGGCCAAAGGAGTCGAGGTCCTTGGTCCATTTCGTGTTGTTGGGATCCTTGCCGATCTTCCGGCGTCTAGAAATTAATTTTTTTCAGTCAGTTATCCAGAGAGGCGAGAAAAATTCACACGGAAACAGTGAGCCTCACGTCTTCGCCTGTGCCAGACCCATCTTTGCGTTGTGACGGGTGCCGACCGGTGGTGATGGAAGATGGGAATTTTCGAGATGCGATAAGAGATGCAGGCCAAAGCCATTATCGCAGGAAAAAAATCTGGTGGGGTCCCTGTTGTGGAATGGGGCTCATCCCTGCAATCTGCAATCTGCATCCGAGGTAGATCCGACCCACCGACACTCACCGAGCCGACCGAGGCGAGTAGTCTCAATATCACCATTTTCAATCCGCCGAGGATGGTTCACGATACGCACGTCCAAATTGATTGCTTATTCGCACTTTTCGGAAGCCTGCTTCAGCATAAAAGACAATTTTGAATACTTAGATCGTATGCGTAAAAAAGGCTGCAAAATGACAAAAGAGTTCACCCCCCCGGTGCTGAACTGGGGGCTACATCTCTGGTGCACATGCTGGGAATCGAACCTTGACCCTAGCGAGGACGAGCCTACCGCCGAGACGACTCGCCCCTAACCATCCCGCCAAACGGGACTTTGACCTGACCTCACAAGCCTGTGAGGCGCCTGCCTCCGTTGGTGACAGGAATGGTCCTGGACCCCCCTATATGGGTTCGAGCCTTCACTTTCATGGAAACTTGATGGCTCACGGAAGAAAGCGCTGGCCTACCGGGTGCAGCGCCATCCATATCCATCCACGGCCCTCGCTACCTTGCCCTCCAAGCCTCCTACCCCTTTCCGAACCTTGAGGGCGAGCACATTGACGGCGCAATTCTCACACGCCCAAAACCCACAGCCACTGCCATACTGCCATCTGGTCACGGTACCAAATTCAACTAAATGTCGGCTTCCCCTCCCCTCTAGTTGACTTGGCCCTGCCGAGTCTGCGCGACTTCGCCGGCATCCTACGTGCAAGACCAGCACAGCGGTCAAGGGTCCCCTTCTTGTGCAACAGCGAGAACAATCTGGCATCGCTCCTGTTGGCAAGTAAGTTATCCCTTTCTCTATGCAGTATCTCCCTACTTCTCCTCTACTATAATGCAATGATGCGAACACATTAGGATTGAGCAACCGAAGTGTGTAGCTCTTAAACCCAGGCCGGTCTACGTTTCTACGCAGATGCTCCAGGGACCAGGATCGCAGGTAAACAAGGCTTAGAAGAGTCGAAATGATTTCTCTATTCCCCCAACGCCATATGAAGTATGCTCGGTTCGTTACTGTACACAAGAACTATCGTCGCATGGATTCGCCCTATTATCCTTTCTCTCTTATCGGATGCTTATACAGTGAAGCCAAATCCCTTCATGCAAGCTCGGTACTGGTCGATCGTGGAAAGGCAATCCTTGGACGGATCGGCGGCGTTGGAGAAGAGCATGCACTCGTCACGCTTGGCCTTCTCGTCCTTGCACACGCAGCAGGGCTACAATCGCGATGGCTCGTCAGTATTCAAAGTTCGTCGTGCTCAAATCGTCGAAGGGCTAGGTTCGGAGAAAGGGTTCTTTGCGCACCTTGGGCTTGGAAGCTTCCTGGCTGGCAGCCGGCGCAGCGGCCGGGGTGGCGATTGAGGCTGTGGGCGGACATTGTTAGCCATTGCGCGGCATGAAATGATGGACTGTATTCCTTACGAAGAGCAGCAGCTTGGGATGCCATTTTGAGAGCGAAATGAGTGTCGGGCTGTTCGGTGGGTGGTTTGCGACAAAGATTTGGATGGGCGGAAAGGATGGCCATTGAGGTGGTCTTCGTCGAACCACTTTTTTTTTCCGCTGACTGACCTCACCACAGCTGTCGCATTTGTCAGTCACTCTAATTTTCGGGAGAGTTCGGCGCCATGGCCCAATCACGCCTTCAAAGAGTCACGTGTGTTGGTGGCCATCTCGCGCATCGTTCCAATTCTCGAGTTTTCTCATCTCGATTAAATGCGTCTCAAGGTTTCATACAGTTCCGTGTTAGGTTCCAGAGCCTATTTATGTTCCTAAAATTTGAGACGATGTATGCTGTGATTTCCAAAGAAACCAAGACGTCAGCGAATTCCGTCGACGTAGCACCGTGACGGGGACCGTTCCGCGTTGCGGGGCTCCGACCCCCTTCCGGAAAGTGGATCCATCGGACACCGGATCGTCACCAGACCAAGGGAGCTCTTGTGACGCTACCCCCCGCTAGTGACTGCACCTACCTTAGTATGGGGGGTGGGAGTTTGTTCGTGTCGTTTGTTACTACGTTGACAGGCTAGGAAGGCAGCTGAAGCTGAATGATCTGCAAGTTGTCGGCATGAATTTACCCCGTTCTGACTTCCACCTAATGGGACATTTGTACGGCAGGCTGGTAAATTGTTGGGCTTGACTGAGATTTCTCAAGTTTGAACTGGATAAACATAAACGTGCTTGTCCCCTCAGAGAAATTCGCCATAGCCTCGCGCTGTCGAAGAGTCACCGGGCACAGTCAACTAGAAGTCGCAACCATGCTGTCCATTGAGGAAATACTAGCTCTCGCTGAGCCCAACGCTGAGTTCACAGAGGTGATCCACAACATGAGCTCATCACATCACAATGTTGATCGTTCTCGCAGCTTCAACGGGCCAGCCCAATCAAGGTCGGCGCATGGAACAAGAATACGGACCTCAAACAGATCCGAGGCATCATGGCCAAGGTCCTCGAGGCCAAACTCGCGGCCAAACCCGACCCATCTACCCTGCCCTACGTCGAAGAAGACGTCCGCATCACCGTGAGAGATAGGACAGCGATTGCCGTTCGCATCCACAAACCCAGAGCCGTCGCCAATGATGGCTGTCCTGTTCTTGTAGCGTTCCACGGTGGCGGGTTCGTCATTGGCGATCTGGAGGGCGTGGGTCCCCTCTGCCAGCTCTTTACAACACTCGGTGGCATTGCAGTGAACGTGGACTATCGTTTGGCTCCAGAGCACCCCTTTCCTATCCCCGTGCAGGATTGCTTCGATGCTGTGAAATGGGTAGATCTACCCATCCAGAAGGCCTGCCTGTTACCATGTAGGGACGAGGCTGACACGGGGTAGACCGTCGATAACGCGAAAAGCCTTGGAATTAATTTATCGAAAGGCATTCTCGTCGGCGGCGAGAGCGCAGGCGCTGACTTGGCGTTGGGCGTAACCCGCCTTTGGACCGACGAGAAACAGACGCCAGAGCTGACGGGCATATTTTCGTCCATCTCCGGAGCCGTCACCGAAGACACCGTTCCCGAAACGTACCGAGATCGTTTCTTGAGTCTGAAGCAGAATGCTAGTGCCCCAGTCGTAACCGCAGACTCGATCGAGTTTATCAGAGGTAAGGATCATCACAAGACGACAGCAGCACTCTAGAGGCTCAGAGTAACATCGTGCTAGAAATGTACAAGCCGGACCCGAGAAGCCCGGTGGCGTACCCTGTCATCTCGCCGGACCTGAATGGCATCCCTAGAACGTACTTCCAGGCTTGTGGGCTGGATCCCGTGCGAGACTGCACGCTTATCATGGAGCAGGTTTGGAAAGATGCGGGAATACCAACCAAACTGGATGTCTATCCTGGTCTACCTCATGGATTTTGGGCACTGTTTCCTCAAGCAGACTTCAGCAAGAAACACCAAAGAGATCAAAAGGCTGGTCTGGAGTGGTTATTACACAAGGACTCGGCATAGTTGACTTACACGGGCACCAACATGACTCAGTTCATCACACTTCTCCCCCCAAATTATAACCTTCCTATACATTATCATAGTCTCTTATCGAGGAAGTTCCCATATTACCGTAAGTAAATTGATCACAATCCGTGCCAATAAACGCCGTTGAAGCGAAAACGCGTCGTTGAGAAAAAGAAAGTTTAAATGGTGATAGGGGCGCCATCCCTGGAAATGTAGTGGCTTTGACCCCTGTAAGCTCTAAACTCAAGTGGAGCCACCCCTGCAACCTCTCAACGCGCTCTCGCCCGCCAGACGCGACGGACTAAATGGAAGGAAATCTGGAGGTGGTCGCCTCCAATTGACATCACCAACGACGTTCGAGCCTCCCGTCTACTATTTCGCATCGTCTCCCAACACCCCAAAACAGGCCGCCAGCTCCCGCAAGCACCTCTGGTCCAATATGGCGCCCAAGTCGAAACCGCCCGAAAAGAAGCAGCAGTCGCTCACAAACTTCTTCCAGCCAAAGACGGTCAATGGCCTAGCCGCCGCCTTCCAGAAGTCGCAGTCCGAAGCACGAACGAGCCCGCCTGAGTCGCCGGATTCCTCGCGCAAGCGCCCCTTGGAGGAGGACACGGATAGGGCCAATAATGGACCCGACAAGACCATCAAGAGAGCAAAGGGTGAAAATGGGGACAAGGCCAATGCTGCGGATCGGGGCAAGAGCTCCTTCTTCACTCCAGGAGCCAAGCCACCCGCCGAGTCTGAGCCCAAGTCCAAGGCATCTGCAGCTTCCTCTAGGACGGGACGGTTCGCCTACAGCCAGGCTTCAGACGTGAACGAGGAGAAGGATGAAGAGGATCAAGACCCATCCACGAAGCAGCGCAAGGAGGAGTTACACAAGAAGTTTGTCAAGAAGCTGGGCCATCCGGACAGCATGCTATGGCGGCGCCGGAGGCAAGATGACAACGAAGCCGCTGATGAGGAGGAAGGCGAAGGAGAAGAAGACGAGGACGAAGCTCCGCCGCCGCCCAAGGCAAAGAAGGGCGGTGCAAGAGCAAACAAGAAGCTCACTCCCATGGAGATCCAGTTCCTCGACATCAAGCGGAAACACCTGGATACAGTCCTCATCGTAGAGGTGGGCTATAAGTTCCGCTTCTTTGGTGAAGATGCCCGCATTGCCGCCAAAGAGCTCAGCATCGTGTGCATACCTGGCAAATTCCGCTACGACGAGCACCCTTCTGAAGCACATCTGGAAAAGTTCGCCTCTGCGAGCATCCCGGTACATCGTCTGCCGGTTCACGCCAAGCGTCTCGTTGCTGCTGGTCACAAGGTCGGCGTGGTACGCCAGATTGAGACAGCCGCATTGAAGAAGGCCGGCGACAACCGCAACGCCCCATTCGTTCGGAAGTTGACCAACGTCTACACAAAGGGCACATACATTGACGAGAATGGCGAACTTGAAACGGGTGGTGATGGTGGCGCTCCTTCGGGTGGTTATCTGCTCTGCATCACCGAGACTCCCACCAAGGGGCAGGGCACCGACGAGAAGGTCGATGTCGGTATAGTAGCCGTACAGCCAACCACGGGCGACATTATCTACGACACATTCGAGGACGGCTTTATGCGCAGTGAAATCGAGACCCGACTGCTGCATATCTCGCCGTGCGAATTCGTCATCGTCGGCGACCTTACAAAGGGGTCAGACAAGCTGATCCAGCACCTCTCGGGGAGCAGCACAAACGTATTTGGTGATCGCAGCCGCGTCGAGCGTGTCCCTCGAACAAAGACCATGGCCGCCGAGGCCTACTCTCACGTCACACAGTTCTACGCCGACAAGCTGCAGCAGACCCCCGATGCCGATGCCTCGGCTCTCCTGGAGCGCATCCTTCACCTCCCCGAGCCCGTCACCGTCTGCCTCTCCGCCATGATCAGCCACCTCAAGGAATACGGCCTCGAGCACGTGTTTGACCTGACCAAAAACTTCACCAGCTTCTCCGCGCGCCAGCATATGCTCCTGAACGGAACGACACTCGAGGCTCTCGAGGTCTACCGCAACGCTACCGACCACTCGGAGCGCGGTTCCCTCTTCTGGGCTCTGGACAAGACCACTACCCGCTTCGGCCAGCGCCTCCTCCGCAAATGGGTCGGTCGGCCTCTGCTCGACGTCGCCCGCCTCGAGGAACGCGTGGCCGCCGTCCAGGAACTCGTTGACGAACAGTCCTCCGCAAAAGTCGACCTTCTGCAAACACTCCTCGCCGGCACAAAGACGGACCTCGAGCGCAGCCTCATCCGTATCTACTACGGCAAATGCACCCGCCCTGAACTCCTATCCGTCCTCCAGACCCTCCAACGCATCGCCATGCAATACCCAACCGTCAAATCCGCCGAGGCAACAGGCTTCACCTCCCCCCTCATCGCATCCGCTGTCCTGTCCCTCCCCCAGATCCTCGACCTCGTCGTCTCCCACCTCGACAAAATCAACCCCGAGGCCGCCCGCAAAGACGACAAGTACAACTTCTTCCGCGAATCAGAACAGACGGAAGACATTGAAGACCACAAAATGGGCATCGTCTCGGTCGAACAATCCCTCGACGAGCACCGCGGCGACGCCGCCGCCTCCCTCAAACGCAAGAAACCCGTCGACTACGTCACCGTCTCGGGCATCGAGTTCCTCATCGAGGTGCCCAATGCGGACCTCAAATCCGTCCCGGCCTCGTGGATCAAAATCTCGGGCACAAAGAAGCTCTCCCGCTTCCACACCCCCGCTGTCGTCCGCCTCATCGCCGAGAGGGACCAGCACCGTGAAGCCCTCGCCGCCGCCTGCGACGCCGCCTTCTCCGCTCTCCTCCGCACGATAGCAGACGCCTACCAACCTCTCCGCGATGCCGTCTCCTCCCTCGCAACCCTCGACTGCCTCCTCTCCCTCTCCCGCGTCGCCGCCCTCCCGGGCTACAGCAGACCAACCTTCCTCCCCTCCACCACGAACAAACCCACAATCTCCATCGCCCAAGGCCGCCATCCCATCGCAGAACACACCCTCTCAGATCCCTACATCCCCTTCACCACAACCCTCGCCTCCCCCTCCCCGCTGGCCCACCTTATCACGGGCCCCAACATGGGCGGCAAATCCTCCTTCGTCCGCGCCGTCGCCCTCCTCGTCCTCCTAGCCCAGATAGGCTCCTTCGTCCCCGCCGACGCTCTATCACTAACCCTCACCGACGCAATCCACGTCCGCATGGGCGCCCGCGACAACCTCGCCGCCGGCGAATCGACCTTCATGGTCGAGGTCTCGGAGACGGCGCGCATCCTCCGCGCCGCCACCCCGCGCTCCCTCGTCATCCTCGACGAGCTGGGCAGAGGCACCTCCACCCACGACGGCGCCGCCATCGCCCACGCCGTCCTCGATCACGTAGTCCGCGAGAACAGGTGTCTCACCCTCTTCATCACGCACTACCAGAATCTCGCCCGCCTAGCCGAGGGCATAGGCGAAGGCCTCGTCAAGAACGTCCACATGCGCTTCACCGCCACCCGCAGAGCCGGGGCTGGGGCGGAGCAAGGCGACGTCGATGCGGATGATGATGAGGCGGGTGCTGATGAAGAAATAACGTTCCTGTATGAAGTTGGAGAGGGTGTCGCGCACAGATCGTATGGACTAAACGTGGCTCGTTTGGCTCGCATACCCCGCAAGGTCATTGATGTTGCCTCGCAGAGGTCGCGCGAGATGGAACAGGATGTAAAGGTCCGGAGGTTAAGGGGCACCGCTCGTCTTCTCACCGAAGTCCTTGAGACGAAACCCGACCAGCTTGATCATTTGATCTCAAACATTGAGCAATTGTAGGCAGATATATCACGGACAATCAAAAGTAAACATATGTACTATGAATCCTTGTGTTATTTCTCGAAAGTGCGTCTGGTGTGACTAGTTGACGCGGTATGACTGCGAAAGACCGAAAGCTGCGTTATCTATAGCCTCCTTTGCCTCCCGAAACAAAAAAAAAAGTCGATGGGTAAAGTCCTAGAAACCTGGTGGGGCTCTTTGCAGTGCCACCGCTTATGGATGTTCCACCACATTCCCCATGATTTCTTGCTTGCAAGTATCGCGCAAGCCTAGCAGCATGTGTCCTATTCCCGCCCTCTTAACTACCCTGTGTTCCACCCCGACGCCATTTGAGCGAGGATCCGCAAGTGAGTTAGTCGTTTCCAGAGGAAGGCTCACCCCGCGTCACGCCGAGCTCAAAAGTGGTCCGGTGATGTAAAGGAACGCAGGAGAAGATTGCGTATCTACTCGAACAACTGTGGGGTATCAGCACTGCCCAATTGCGCCTTCGCCAGAACGTCAGACTTACTTGAAAAGAAAGAAACCGAAGAACGAAACCCAGATAAAGAGTCTGTTAAAACCCCAGATCCGCATACCCAACTTCCCCGCGGTGGTGGCTTGTGATGAACCCATGTCACCAACGGGAACGTTGTCGAGTTGCGCAACTAGGCCCCATGTCCATTCTGGTACACGCCCGAGCCCTGAGCGTGGTCATGGTGGCCGTTGCCGTACGTGTTCATCATGGGCATCTGCTGAGAAAACATCATCTGCTGATGATTGGGATTGGCATTGATCGGGTTGAATCCATGGTGGCCGGCGCGCAACATTGGGTTACCCCAGGCCGGGTTGAGGTGGTACATGTCAGGCATCGGGTATCCGGTGAAGATGTTGGGGTCCATGTTGATGGCAGTGGTCATTCCAGCCTGGTTCAAGTGAGTGTTGTTGACACCATAGAAGTCAATGCTGGTCATCTTGTGTTCCTGTACACCATTGTTATTTTCCTTTCCTGTGAAAGTTCGACGTGAAAGCTGCTTCGCAGCCGGAGTAGGAGAGGCCATGCTCAGATTCGAGTTCGCGTTCATCGACCGGAGGGGTATACGATTGCGGACGTCGAATCTGCGCACATAGGGGTTAATACACAACATTACTAACATGATGAGAGTTTTCGGGGATGGACCTAGGCTCATCCTTCACCGTAGTCGAAGCCTTGGTGCCTATAATCTGAGTTAGTGGATGGGCAGGAAGACGAATATAGTACAGAGACTTACCGGTAGCGCTGCCACCTTGGAACACGTCGGAGACGCGATCAGTAACGGTGAAGAACTGGTCGTTAGGACCCCGGTCGGGACCTCCAATTTCCTTGTGAGATTCATCAAGCTCGATCATTCCAGCGTAGCCGAGAGTATCGCTGTCACCATCGGCGGTGCTAGCGATGTCGCTCGTGACATCGAACTTCTCCGAGAGGGACTCGCTGTCGAGCTCCGAAACTTCTTCCTGCTTGTAGAGGCCATTCTGGAGCTGCATAGCCAAAGCAGAAGATGCACGGTGAGCGGCTTCGTCAGCGAGCTCCTCCTTGACAACAACTCCCGAGGCATTGCCATCCTCCTCTGCGGCACCGCTACGTCTCTGACGACGTCTAGACTTCTTGATGACCTGTTTGAGCGATTGAAATAATTAGTAAGATACTGCCCTGCCTCGTGGCATATGCTTTGACTAACCGGGCTTCCCTCAACGGAAGGGGCATCATAGACATCACGAGTTCTCTCGAACTCCAAGTCCAGATTTGCCACGATCTCCAAGGTGGTGATCGCCTGAGACGAAAGCTCCATCTTGCGAAGCACAGAGGCGTCCTTGCGCTGGTTCCGCTGCTTCTTCTGATCAGGGGTGGCGGCATCAAAGATGCCCATGCCCGGCCAGACGGTTCCCTTGAGTCGAGCAGACTCCAAGTCATCGGGACCCCACTCAATGGCATCATCGGTAGGAGTCGAGGCCGAGGCCAGATCATCGTTATCACCGTAGTATGTGATGGCCTGCTGCTGGCCAAGAAGTCGACCGGTGGGAGGAGGCGTAAACATGGAGTCATCAGCCTCACGCTTGACAAGGGTCGAACGAGCCTTCTTTCTCTTGAGGGTCTGTCACAGTCAGTACATGAAAAGTTCTTTGCTCGACAGGATGCCTACAAGAGAAGTTCCCTGTCTAGATCGCGAGAAACCTCTCGCCTTTTCATCCTTGGCCTTGAGGCGCTCTGCAAGCATACGCTCGATACCATAGTCCTTGTACCACTTGTCGTAGGTGGCAACTTTGTCCGCGGCGGCGAGATCCTGAGTGGCGCGGATTCTCACATCGTTTTGAGTCTGAAGGTGGCCCTTGGAACTGAGGTGGGTCAGAAGATGGGAGAGGTCGGAGAAGCGCGGGGTGCTCGTGCAGACAAGGCAGACGAGGGGAATTCCAGGACTGCCCGAGGGCTTGGGGTCGTCGGGTGGATTCTTGGAGCTAGGGGCCTTGCCGCTGGCCTTGACAGTGGACGACTTCTCGATCTTGATAGGCTTGAGCTGCTTGTTTCTGGATCCTTTGAGGATCTTGACGGGCATGACATCGTCGGCCTCGTGGGCTGCGACGGCGGCCATGTTCTGTCCAGAGTCAGCATTTGCAGCCTCTATAATTCATGGAGCCAGTCGTTACTGACTAGCCGTCTTTCCATGGTCTGAACAGAGCGAGTGGGATGGAAGACAGGCTTGTCTGCTCGTAGTAACCAAAACACAAAATGAGGGGAGGAAGAGAACGACGGATATTTCGAATATCAGCAGACAGAGGAAGGGCAGCACGGAGCAATGAAAGCCAAGGAGTGAAGTCGAAACGCTCAGTGCAAATGGGAGGTGTCAGTGGAAGCAAAGGGTGGCTGTGATGGGAGGAGGAATGTCGATGATTGGGAACATCCGACGAAAGAACGGATGTATCGACAACGACTGTTGTGCCATCCAAGAGGGTGGGCATAGACTCCAGATAGGAGAAGGGATGTACTCACGGCTTGAGCAGCAAGAGCCGCCTGACGTCTAGGAGCCATTTCGGAAAGACGGGAAGAATGATGTTATCCATAGTAACAACAAGCCTGCCGTCCCAAAATGAACGGAGAAGGTACGCTGGTATGAGATCGAAACTTAGCAAGAGGTGGTTCTTGAGGTTCAGGTACTCTTTCCTGCAAAATGAATTCGTCAGTGGCAGGAATTTTGTGGATGAAGGAAGCTGTGACACCGGCTCTTTCTCAACAGTTGGAAACCCTGATGAAGGAGCAGAGGCAAGTCCCGGTCTTGTCACCTGACGTAAAGGGGCAATGTCACTTTGAGGAAGGCATCGGCAATGCGGACCCTCAAGCCTCCGGTATGAACGTGTTGTCGCCGACCATCTGCCCATTGGCCCGGGAGAATGACGGCAATTTGATCCTGAAATTGCCGTGCGATTGGTGACCCCGACCGTGTCGCAACGGACAAGCCTCACTCGCTGGATGAAGGTGAAAGACTTACCAAAGTACCACGGATTGAGCTCAAGTTGAGAGATCAGCTGTTGGTTCTGAAGACCACGGGAAATAGACGGGTTATCGTGTGTATTTGGGTTCTATGAGATTGGCTTCGTTAGTAAGGACTTCTCTCCAAGAACTCGTGGTTTTTCAGGCAATGGCTCACCGTGCGTCCTGAATACAACCAGAAGACTCTCTATAGTCGCGTATCTTGCTGAATTTCTGCGCTGATTGATAGATTGTATCACCAATCCAAGGAACTAGATTGCTTCTGTATGGAAAAGTAAGTAAGAGTGGACCAAGACTGTCGATGTGTTTGTAGAGGAAAGAAGGAAGAGTTTGAGCCCAGAGAAGGGAAAGGAGAAGAGAAGAGCAGAGAATAGAGCGGGTACAAGAAGCCCAGGGCTGTTGCCCTTCCTCAGCTGTAGGACCAAGGGGGCGGGAGCAGAGACTGGCTCTCGCCATTCCTGGATGAACAGAACTGGCGGGAGCAGAGAATAGCTCTCGCCATCATATGTTGACAGGATAGGCGAGAGCAGAGAGTAGCTCCCGCCGTCTGAAGTCCAAGAAGAACAGCAGAATCAGATCCTAGCTCTCGCCGTCCCAAGTCGGACAAGACTGGCGGAATCAGAAGCTAATTCTCACCGTCTCATATCAAGTGAGATCAGAGACTAGCTCTCGTCGTCCAAATTTGAACAAGGTGGCGAGATCAAAGACTGGCACTTGCCGTCTCAACTTGAACAAGACTGACAGGATCAGAGGCTGGCTCTCGTCGTCTGACCTTGGACAAGACTAGCACTCGCCGTCTCAACTTGAACAACACTAGCAAGATCAAAGACCAGCTCTCGCCATCCCGGGTTGAACAGGACTGGTAGGAGTGTCTTGAACCAAGCATAGCTCCTGAAGCAGGAGCAGAGACGAGCACTCGCTGTCTCTGTATTGAAGAAAAGGGGCCAAAGTTGGAGCACACTTGAAGGTGGCTCTCGCCTCTTCAACTTGACAGGATATGAAGAAAAGAAAGTCAGGGAATTGTTTTCCAGCACCTGCGCTTGCAAACGTGTCTGAACGAACCACTCAGAATAGACAGTATCACCCACATCGTGAGGAATCTTCAGATGCCCAAGTGTTGAGACGGAAAGGGTATTTGAAGACGAATGATAGAACAGAAAACTTGCGATGAGAACCTTGCTCGGACGGGGCATCTGAGGAATGAATGGTTGGGACGATCAAAGCGTTGCGACGAAAGCGATCGCTCGATGAAAAGTAGACTGTGACGAGAACAACATTCGATGGTGATGTTCACCAGGAAGAACAAGAGCAGTGAGATCAAGGCGAAGGACAATGATTTGCAACAGAAAGAGACAGAAGAGACGGACCAATCTGAAAAGTATTGCGTGAAGGGAAAACAAAGACGGGAACGCGAAAAATGAAGCCAAAGAAGGTGTTCGGTGATGATTTTGACACGAAAATAAACAACACCACGTACCTAGTCCCTGAACTTCCTGAGAAACGGGTGTGGAAGTAGAATCTGGTATTTCAAGTGCTTTTTGTCAATACGCATCTGCGAATTGCTGAAATTCCCCCGATGGGTAGCGGAAGGAGGATGAGGATGTTGGTCCAGAAGCAGTGCTTGGAACTGGGATTTTGCGAAGGTCGAAGGCGATCTGATGATGGTCGTACAGACGAATCTGGGACGGGAAGAAAAACACAGATGCGACGGTGTCGTACAAAGGGTGTATTTCGAAAGAAGTGGAAGTGTTGGGACAGTGTTGTAATCGAAAGCAGAGAGGAAGGAATACCTGGACAGGCGACCGAATGAGACGATCAAAGTCCAAGAGAATGGTGTGGTTGTTGGTGAAATCTCCAAGAGGTTGAAGATATCGAGACTTCCGACGGCGTGGAGGAGGAAGATGGGTTTGTTGTGATGGAGGCGAAGGGCGAAGTATGAGAGACGAGAGAAAGGCCGACAGACGCGTGTGGTGGGGCCGCTCGGTGAGCGGGTGGGTGGTCTTCCGGAGTGGAGGGCATCACCACGAAGCTAAGCCTACACCGACCGCAGTGCACGTGACTGGGTGGTTTGATGCCGAAATAGGATATGGGATGAGGGTCGGGCGGTGTGAGAAGTCTTGGTACCTTACAAGGCTTCGAGATGAGGGTTCAGCGGGCGAGCCAGTGAAACGCTCCAGGCGTATCAGTTCAACCTTGAGGTACCTTAGTGCAGGCGGTACTTCTGGACGAGATGAGGCTATATTTTCAATGGCCATGATGTCAGAAGTAACTACATATGCCTAAAGTACATTTGACGAGGATGATATGACACTTGCAACAGATATTTGACTAAGCCTTAGACTGAAGTAGAGCAGTAGGGAGTGTGAATGGAGAGGAACGGGAATTTGTAGATTGATTCACCTTCCAACTTTAAGAACAAGTTGGCGTAACGGTGACTGGAATGACTCGTGTTGTATTATGAGGCTGATGATGGATTGTTTTATGTATCATTAACTTGCTCTCATGGGTATCTTAAGCTTTCAAGTATCCCAGGGGCTATCTCCCAGCAAGTCGTAAATGAGGCTACGTGAACTGTGGACAAGCCGACACTATTGCTCCCTTCTCGACCCGCATCCTCATACCTCTACTACTGAAGCAGGCCACATATCTACTTATGTGAACACATATATCGAGAACCAGGCGCCTGACCTTAAGCCATCATCCATCCGCTAACCCTTCCTATATTCCGTCTCGACAGTTCACGACGATTTCCTCCCAAGCACCCGATCAATCGTCGGCTTCGGCATACAATACACCGGATCAACCTCCACCGTCCCCGGATACCCCAACAAACTCAACCCCGTCATCCCAAAGCACGTATGCCACACATCAACCGTATTCCCCGGCCGATCCGAAATCCCGCCCAACTCCTGATCCTGACACTTCAGTATGAACGCAACAAGCTTGCCCCGATCAATCCAGTGCGTCCGCCCGATAATCTCCAGACTACTCAACACCCACCAGCTATAACACACGTCCTCGTCCTTCTCCGGCCTGCCATTCAACCCGCCCCCCGCGACCTGCCGCTCGCTGAGCCACCGGCCTAGCTTATCCGCCTCCACGAGGTCCAGACGCCCCGCGATGGCGAGCGCCGCAACGCACGTGAAGATCTGGCCCGAGTGAGACTCGTCGCCCGGGCTGACGCCGTACCCGCCGTCAAAATTCGTGCAGGCGACAATGTGCGCGACGGCCTTGTCGACGTCCACGAGGGAGAGCAGGCCCAAGAGGGAGAGGGCGTTGAAGGCGCCGTACAAGAAGCGCGTGTCCTCCTCGCCCCATTCGTCTCCCGCAAAGGTACCGCTTTCACGGTTCTGGAGGTCCGCAATGACTTGAGATGGCGAGTGTTAGCCCACTGCCCCCAAAACCTGTGACGTAGTGAGAGTGTTTTAATGTACTTACACTTGCCAACCTGCGCCTTCCCTTGACCCTTACCCCTCGCCTCCAACTCATCCAGCGCATCAATCATGACCAGAATCTGAACGGCACTAACAGTGTACAACATATGCGCGTCGTGGCCCGGCGCGGCCCCGAACCCCCCGCTCTCATGCTGACACGAGAGCACGAAATCAATCGTCTCGTCCCGCGGGAGAGCCTCCGGGTGGCCGAGGAGGTGCAGCGCTACCAGGCCCCAGTAGAGGCCGTTGAGGCGCAGGTGCTCCGTCAGCCAGTAGTCGTACTCGTCTTTGCGGGTATCAAGGCTCTGGACGTATTTGACGTGCGCCGCCGTCGCCAGCTTCAGCTCGTCTGGCAGGTTCTCGAACTGGGCCGCCATGACGCCACCCTTTTTCTCTTTTGATTTTCCCCCTTTCGTGTGACTTGATCCGGGCGTTCGTATCTGAGGTAAGATCAGAAAAGGTTTATGGAGAATTAAAACCGAACCAAACTTCCTCAATAATACCTAGGCAGGCGTGAGAGGATGGATGAAGTGAGGTCGTTCGCTTAGGTAATGGTGGTGCAGGGCCGGTACGCAGGGTTCTGCCGACTGCCGGGCCGTGAAGTCCATCTAGTGTGGGGTGACCTCGCCGCCCTCACCGAGGTGTGTAACCCACCCCATGCTTAACGGATCCGAAGGTGACGTCCGTGACGTCTTAAGTATCCGACAACTTCTGGCCGTCTCTTACCTTACCTTACTTGGTGATAGTCTCGCTCACTCTATGCGGTGATGCACCATGACTTTATCTACCTTAGTTACTGTACTTGAAAGGCAGCCAGCTGAATTGCCAACTGGGGTCAACCGGGAGTTGGGTTTAAGGAACTCAACAGTTGACCGAGAGACGGACCTGAGAACCAAGCTCATCTTTAACCTGGGATCGTTAAACAGGATTAGGCTGGATTCTTGGCACCATACTACATGTCCGCCATGCAAACTTACAATCCCCAAAGCACCGCAGCAAGATCGGATTATTTTTCGTGATCCTATCATCTTCCCGAATCCATTTGTGGCAGCTCTTCTAGTAGGAGTGGTGTGTAACAAATAACTACCTCCGCCAAACTGAGGAGGATGATGCTTGGCACGGCTATTGATGGTGGCTGGAACCCGGTCTTGCAGAAACTTGCCGTCCAATGAGTGTTGAAAGACGTACTTGTCCTGGAGAGGTAACGAGATGGCGGAGAAGTACTTTAGGCTCTGGGATCGACGACAAGGAAGGCTTAGAAACGCCCTTCTTTTCCCGATCTCATCTTGGATGGATGGGGATTACGCAAGACCCATCATCAAAAGATCGCAAGTACAAACGGGGTCACCAGAGCCGCCCTTGACGGCACCGTACACAGTAGAAGAAGGTGGCTAGGACTGGGCAGTTGGAAGGAGATGGTGCAGGCTTGATCCTGCGAATAACCTCACACCCCGCCGGGCGAACTATGACATATCGGGCACCCTCCCTTTTGAGACGGCTTGGGCTAGAGCCAGTTCTCCCGAGGAAGAACGCAGCGTTGTTGGGCCCGAATCTGCGCACCCAGACTCTATGTAAAGGCGGGTCCTCGCGGGCATAACACAGTATCCGTACGAGAATACGTGCCACTTCCATATTGACAGCTGGAGCCATCACCCAGGCTTGTGCCAGGCCAGGAGCAACGGAGGCGAAGCCACGCTGCCACGCTGCCATGTGCGCGTACCAACCCTCTTTTCTGGGTCCTTCCCGTCCGGACACCGTTCGGGGCGTTGTTGACATTTACATATCGTGCCCACGCCTGCGGGGCTTTTCCCAGCGTTTGTCGAAGAAACACTACCGAGTTTCAGAGTGATCGGTTGTGTGCCTGAACTAAGCTCCTTTCGGACAACGGTGGTGTACGTTGGCATTCAGGCCTGTGCGAACCATGACGCCGTTGTCAGAGACCAAGTACTTCGTAGGCCCTGAACGCAGAGTGCTATCCCCTTTCCATGGTAAGGCTCTGGGAGACTTCGTTCATGTCCTGTCGCTCATGTTGCTGGTGTACGGAAGTTATAGCTGTAAAGCTGCTTTGCGACACGGTACAAGCTAGCTGTATCCTCGACTAGGCTTGATTCTGTCAATTCATAACCGAGAGAGATCGCCGCGGCAAGTGGGTAACTCATCGTTGATATTTAGCAACCGAACCCGCTATCCGCCCGCGAGACACTTGACCGCTGACGACACGCCGTGGGCTTGGAGTTGATTATAGTACTGCGGAAGTTCCCAACTAGAGCAAAAAACGCCTCGGGCAAGTGAATCTGCGAATATCTCGTATCGAACGTAAGTAATCTCAACCGTCCTCCGTTGTTGATGCCGAGGCCACTTCTCCACGAGAAGCCATACAGCGAACAGTGACTTCCTAGTATTGGCTGTGATAGATACTTGATACCTTGTACACGCTTCCGTTCCGTCGATCTCTAACCACCTTCATTGGCAACGCGGGACTTGGTATCAGTGAGAATGACGACAGCTCTAGCGTAAAGTTCGGCAGAGTTTCTACTTCTTCTGCGCCATGACCCGTCGTCTCGTCCCTCTGGATAACTTTGCTCAAAATAAGCCCTCTGACCAAAGAGAGTGCACGTTTTCGGCACAATCTTTTGAGATAAGGCTTAAGCCGGCACGTTGCGGCAACACTTGACGTGCTCGGTTCGAAACGAAAGCCAGAATACGTGCATTGGTTGGTTGCCAACCAGTCCGAGGCTTACGACTTGGGAGGCGATGATATGCTAGATGGCTTCGTGTTGCCTGTGCTTTGCAGATGGACGCGCAGTAGCGCGACTCCTTGCCGTCAAATCAGTGGGCAGCCGGCAAGCTTCTTGTCTTCTTGTCTTCTTGTCTGGCCAGGGAGGCAAGTTGAGCGAGTCGAGCCGAGCTCACCGTTGGACGGAGTAAGGGGATCTTCGACTCGGGCTTCCAAACACTCTGGAAGGGTCTGAACGTGCAGAAGAAACGCACAGAGTGCGTCGATAGCGTGCTGGCTGCGTCGCGACTTGTCACATCATGCCAGATCAGTCTGTTGCTCCGTTCTCTGTCGGCAACGCCTAGCCTCGTCTTGCAAGTGTACATACTGTCGCGGTGTTCTGACCACGTGGTGCTTCATATTACGGGTTTGCTTCAGGCTTCATCCCCTCCCTCACATTTGAGGTAACCCGCTCGTGGTCAGTCACCTGAACTTGCGGAGCGCCTATCGGACTTCGGAGGTGCCGTCATCACGACATATAACGGCGCACAGCTTGATGCCCGAGCGGCGGGACCACAGACGGCCGTACTGCTGCGGAGGCACTGACCGTCTTGGTATTGCCAATTAACGTATCCCGAGATAGACGACTAGAAAGATGACCGGTTCTAAGGGGTGACCGCAAGTTGTGTCATGAGGTAATGCAACGCTTAAAGCTTACATGGACGGCTGCAAGCAGTAAGCACCCCTGGCGTTGCTCACATTCCAGGCGATGCAAAACGTGGCAATCCTAGAATTGACTGCGTTTCAAGAGTCTGGCCTCCTGGCAGTCCAGTGGGCAATGTCCTCCAAGAGTCGAGTTGGATAGGGTATTCATTCAATGCCTTGGCATGGAACACCTGAGGAGCCGACTCCCCGCGAGATCCCTTTCAGCTTGGTGTTTTTAAATCATCTGCAAAAGGCAGAGAACAGACTCCGTCATCGCCATCGGAGCAAGTTTCCTTCATTGGCCGGGATCGTGTTGGGTGCTGAGTCCGAGTATACCGCTTGCGAATACGAATCGTGACACGGACGAAGAGATCACCGATAGATTTGGGATATGTATTCCCTTTTTAGTACAAACAATGCGCCCAAGCTGGTGGTCGCTATCAACGAACGACTTGTTGGTTGTCGCGAGTCCACAAAGAAGGCACTTGTAAAGGCGACCTGATGGTGAGGCTGGCATGGTTGACTCTGCGATCCAAGACGGCTCGTCCAGAATGGTGCTTGGCAGGTATGGCTTCCCAATAGCTTGAGCAATGTCAATGTCAAACAGACGTGCGCTGCCCAAATCGACACTACAGGAGGACCGGACCACGATCTGTGCGCGGCGACTGGCGGATGAGACTGGCGGATGAGACTGGCAAGCGGCAAGCCGTTGGCCTTGTTCGTTGTTGGTCGACCAAGGCTGTTAATGCAACTAGGCCGCAAGCAGCCACGGTTCTTCGGACGTCTTTGGTGGCAGAAGACCGCTTGAGGTAATTGCAGTGCTGAGGGATAATGGATGGAGCAAGGAGGCAGATTGAAGAATGTATCGGTTTCAATGGCCAGAGCCGCATTGAGGCCTAACCGGCAACGGACGGCACCAATGCACCAGGGTAGACACGCACGCCGTGTCCGTAGAAGCCGACATGGGCGACATGGTAATTAAAGAGAGTTGAGCAACAAGATGAGGGTATTCCAATACGTCGTGTTGAATATGGCAAGGAAAGGTAGCATAGGTCCAACACGAGGTGGTGGCTAGCGCAGCAAATGATGTTAGTGTTTAGTTGGAGCAAGGTACCTAAGCCGCAAATGAAGTGTGATGCGGTGTCAGGCCATTGCGAGAGGGAATCTCAGAAGTCCAGGACATTCAGGAATCAGCACAGCCTGAGGCCCCCACAGCGACCTGCCCAACGTTCTCACCTGGTGCTTGTCGGGATTGACACCACCAGACCAATTGGCAACTACGGCCGGGGTGCCCTCTCTCCCTCTCGTGCCGCGTTGTGTCCCCCATTCTTTCCTCCAAGCTCCCCGCCGGGCATCAAGACTCGAATGGAAGGCGATGCCTGTCACCGGGCAGTTACCACCACCCCGGCCCTCTTGCCTTCCTCAGCCAGGTCTCGTTCAGGGTCGGATCCACACCGGGCCATGGCTCCTTCCTGCCAGTGACAGATTTCCCGAGTCCCCCCTCTTAGGTACTGCGTATGTAAATACGCCTCTTTTCGGACGTCTCTCACCACTGTCTGAGGTAACGGCTTGTGACTCCACAGTCTCTCCTCTATTTTTTGCAGGCAGGAGCTCGACAAAAGCAAGCGCCGCGCCTTCCTTCTGAGGTTGGTACCTTAGGGTCTTCCCCCCATGTAGCTGTACCTTACAGATCCTGTGCTTGGCTCCCGGTTCCAGGTACAGGCACGGACATAGACAGGCCTCACGCCGGGCTGGCTACCACCCTCTCCCTTTGGTAAGGTAGGTAAGGTACCTCGGGCACTCCAGGTCTGTAGGGGAACTGTTAGTTTGCAACTTTGTTCCCATCAATCAATCCTTGGCCCAAGGTACCAACACCTATGTTCCTTTCTTTCTTTCTTTCCTCTCCCAGTCGTTCTGCCCGTTATTCATGTTCAATAATGATTGAAACTTCCTTCACATTCAACCTTTTTCAGCCACCTGGCTGTTCTTATACGGGAATACAATAGGGAACAACCCAGAACAAGTCAAGCCAAAGCCGCATCTTTGGTTCAATCGTCCCCAAGCTTGCAATGCCCATCCCATACCTAGTTGCATCAGCCTCCTTTCACACGCCCCGACCTCTCCAACACGGGCGGGCTGCTTTCACCTAATACCTAGCCATACTGTACTTATCTCAAGGAACCTTGCTTTGTACCTGACCTCACCTTACCTTACCTCACAGGTACTGTTTGGTTACCAACCTACCTGGTACCTTACCCCCCCCCCCCCTTCTTCCCTACCTACTTTCACTCTCACACACCATCTCTCTCAGGTACCATCTCAACTCCATCTTTCATTCACTCACACATAGTCACTCACTCACCCTCTCATCCTTCATCTCCCTCTTCCTCTCTATACTACATTGCACACTTTCATCACCCGCCCGCGCCTTAGGTTATGTTAGGTTAGGTGATCTATCTCTGTTTCCTCAATCGCCCACCTACCACAGATTTCCATTCCTTAGCCTGTCTCCCCCATCTGGCACTTTACCCCTTCCACCTCCTGATATCCCCGACAGATGCGTGATCCGTCTGGTCCAAGTGCGCGCACCGAAACAGTTGGCCCTCCTGCGGCAGAGAACGAATCAGGATAAGGACCGTTTCTGGGCCTCCTTGCCCGTCCCATCTCAACCTATCCCATCTCATCCCGATCCTGATTCTGATCCTGTCCTGTGCCCTGTGTGTGCCTGTCTCCCCGTCGCACGTCGCACTACTCTCTCTCCTCGCCGCACCAGTACATACACACAGTCTCTCTACCGATACCGCTATTACCACTACGAATACTTCGTGCAGCTTGAGCCCTGAGGTAGCCCATGCAGGCCTGGTGCTCTCTCTGGAGTCTGCCTCACCTCATCCACCTCACCTTACTTACCCCGGACCGCTGGATTCGTACCGTACGGATCCCCAAGCTGGGTGGCCCTGACCTGATTGAGGAGCTCCTGCGCTGCCTCTCTGCTGCCACCACCCATCGCCGCCCGCCCACCAACGCCTTGTCTGTGTCGCCGCGCCCTCTGGGTATCATCCTTGACCGGGCCCCCAAAATCTCCTATTTCATTCAGCTACCCGGGGAATAAAAAAAAGAGAGAGGCACATTATTAATTTCCTACCATGGGCCGGAAGCATGCACCACAGCCGCTGACGCTGTCTGAATCTCAAGCCTCCTCCGACCAGCCTGAAGACGTGCCGCGCTCTGCTGAAACCCTCGCCTCTGCCGTTCCTCCAAGCGCTGGCTCTAAATCGCAATCCTCTCC